AAAGTTCTCTCAATACCTAGCCCTCAGTAAGGGCGCCTGGGTGGCTCGGTTATGTGTCCAACTCGTGGTTTCAGCTTCGGTCATGATCTCAGGGTCATGAGATTGAGCCCCGCAAAGGGCTCCGCACTCAGCATAGAGTCTGCTTGGATTTCTCCCTTTCCCTCTCCCTCTGCCCCCTCTCCCCAATCACGTGATCTCTCTCTCTCTCTCAAATAAATCAATAAAATCTTAAAAAAAAAAATACCTAGCCCTCAATAAAACCAGGAACCACAGCTGTCTAAAGTCGTAAATTTCGTTTTAGTTTCTTTGCATTCATTTCTGTGCCTCACTTGGAAATTTGTCCAGTAGGAAGCCTGGTACGGAGTCCCAATTTGCAGTCCCAGAAGTACAAGATCCATTAAGGATGGCTTAAACTTCTGTTTCTGAAATGAACGTTATTTTGCAAATATTGTGCAAATTCATTTCATTTGTATAAAATCAGTGTAGGTAAGGCCGCGGTACGCGCACCATATTCCCCATCACCAGCTTGGTAACACTTCTTACTAAGGCTTTTTCTACGTGCACACACATGCACGCACACGCGCGCACGGACGCGCATGCACACGCACGCACTATATCAGTCCCCTAGGGCTGCTCAAACAAAGCACCGCAAGCCCGGGCCTTAAACAGCAGAAGCGTATGGCGCCGCAGTTCTGGGGCTTAGAAGTCCAACAACAAGGACTCGATCAGAGCTGGTTCCTTCTGCGGTCCTGAGGGAGAGTCAGCCCCAGGCTCTCCCAGCTCCTGGGGGTCGCCGGCCATGCTGGGTGCTCCTTGACTTGCCCAAGCGTCACCCCGATATTTCTGCCTTCATCATCCCTCGGTTTCTCCGTGTGTGTGTGTCCAGCTTTCGCTTTTTATTGGGTCCACAGGGGACTGCTCCAGCGTGACATCATCTTAACTCCCCACCTCTGCAATGACCCTATTTCCAAATAAGGTTGCATTCGAAGGTCCTGGGTGTTAGGGCTGTCACCTACTTGGCGGGAGGGGAGGTTGCAGGGAAGGGGACACAACGTGAAGCACAACACACACACAAATGCAGTGGTCACAGCTGCCCGAAAGAAGGGGTGCGGGTGCGGGGGCCTCAGGCCTCTGAGGAGGAGGCAGCCCCGGCTGCTGTGGGACCTGCAGAAGGTCAGGGAGGTGGCCCCAAGCCCTAGATGTGTGACTTGAGCAATTTACCGAAACTGTCTGTGCCTCAGTCTGCCGCTCCACAAAGTGGGACGATGACTATGTCTGCCTTCAGGAGGTTGTCGCGAGGGTTTAATGAGCTTAATTCATGGTCTCCCTTAGAACTGGGGTCAATGCCACCGGAAGCGGTAGCTGGTTTGGTCCGGGAAGCTGCAGACCCTGTTACAGAGAATTTTCTAGTACAGTGGCTGCCACCCAGGGTAGTTCAGGGGACACTGGACCATGCCCAGAAACATGTTTGGTTGTGACGACTTGCTGGGGGGGGGTGCCCCTGGCTTCTACTGGGTGGAGGCCAGGGGTGCTGCGATGCACAGGACAGCCCCCGACCACAGCGAATGATCTGGTGCCTGTGCAGTCCCAATCCTCACCTGCCTCATCTCCCTTAGGCCACCCTGTGACCCTATTCAGCAGTGCCACTGTCACACCCATTTCACAGAAAGGGAAACTGAGGCTTGGGGGCTGGCCTGAGACTGCCTGGTTTGATCTTGGCTGTGGGCCCCCCACAGCCACCCTGGGATCTAAGGAAGTTCCTGGTTGTTTCCCAGTTTCTAGGAATCCTCCCTCCCCTTCCATCCACCCCGCCTCTCCTCCCCCTCCACCACTCCTAGTCATCCAGAGCCCCTGGAGAGGAGATCAAAGCGAACCCTCCCTTCCTACCTGCAGCTGGACTGGGGCCACCAGGACACCCGATCTCCAGCAGGGGGTGGGGGGCAGCTGGGACGCTCTGGGGACATCAGAGGCTCGGATCTCACTGGACCCCAAGCCTGTCTCTATCCTATCCCGAGGGCAGGGCATTCATCCCTCCTTTCTCACATCCTCCCTTCAGGCAGGACCGTCTCTGATCTTCCCCGCAAATCTCACACGGGCTCTTATGGGGGCATGTGTGCTCTGCACTAGGTTCCCAACCCCTGTAGCCAAGGCCTGCTTTGGAATAGACGCCCCCCATGGCCACCCCCATCCGACTTTTTATCTGACTCTCCCAGCTCCTCTCAAAACCCTCCCATGGCTCCCCAGTGATCTGGAGGTAACGTCCAGACTCTGCCTGCCATTCAATCAGCCCTCCCATGTCTAACCCCTCCAGCACCAGCACCAACCACAGAGGGGCCGGCTCTGCCCCTGCTTCAGACGAGGGGCTTCAGAATTTTGGGGCTCCTGCACTGTTCAGCATGAGGCCAGATCCGCTGAATGAGTGAGTCCAGGAAGGAAGGAGGGAAGGACACAGCTCAGAGGCAGCTCCCTGCCAGGGTCCGCCTTGTTCTTGCCTTCCCCCCACCCCCACCCCCGCGTCCAGGCCAGGAAATATTCACTGGCTCCCACCGGCAGGAAAACCCAGAGATATGTTGGTGTTTCTGCTAAACGCCCCCGCTCCCTGTGCTGGGTCTGCTCGAGGGATGCTCCCTGTGGGTTCCTGACCCACACAGGAGGCTGGTAAGAGTAAACACCGGGCACCTTTTCTCTTCAGGTGGGCCCTCCCCTGTCCGAGAATAAAGAACTCAAAGATGCTGCAGATCACGCGGGGAGCCCAGTTTGGATCCTGAATCTGCCTCTTGTTAGATGTGTGCCCTCTGGCAAGGGACTTCTCTAAGAGCCTGTTTTCTCTGTAAAATGGGCAAGAAGTAGTGTAAGATCCCCTAAGGATGTGGGATGAAAGGAGAGGAGAAATGTAAATACAAAGCTTAGGTGAGGGGCGCCCGGCTGACTCAGACGTGGAGCGTGTGACTCTTGATCTTGCGTGACTCTTGATCTCAGGGTCGTGAGTTCAAGCCCAACCTTGGGGGTAGAGATGATTTAAATCAATAAATAAGAACTTTTTAAAAAAAGATTTTTTTTTGACAGAGAGTGTGTATAGGCAGGGGAAGCAGCAGGCAGAGGCAGAGGGAGAAGCAGACTCCCGCTGAACAGGGAGCCCAACGTAGGGCTCGATCCCAGGACCCCGGGATCCTGACCTGACCCGAAGGCAGACGCTTAACCGTCTGAGCCACCCAGGCACCCCAATAAATAAGAACTTTAAAAAAATGTTAAAGAAACTTAGGCAAGTATTTTTAAATGTCGTGTAAGGCTGAGGCAAGAATTTCTTTAAATCACTTTCATTGCCCCGGAGAAACAGAAGGAGCATGCCCGGCAGGGAGGAAAGAATTGAGATTCTTGTCTCTCCTTATCTCCTCCAAAAGCTGTGACCCCTTATCTCCCCGCTCCCCAGCTAGGTTATCTCGAGTCCCCATTACCCCACCCACATCCAGTTTTCAGGCTCTTTTCCATAAAAAAATGGGTATTGGGGTGGGTGGTCTGCATCAGTGTGGAGTTCTGAGCTAGGACCCCCTTGGGGTGCCGGAGCCTCTGGTTTGTCAGTGGGTTCCTGTCTCCCAGTTTCTGTCTGCAGTTTTGAATCTCTGCCTCCATGCCCACCATACAATCATTGGACAGATATTTCTTGAGCTCCTATGTGCCAGGCATCGGTAGCTGATCCGGTCCCTGCCTTCATGAGGATCATAGTTCAGTGGGGGACACAGTTAAGAGCTGGGGTGGGGGGAGAGCAGATATCGGCCCTGATGGGGGGCAGCCCAGAGTACTGTATGACCAGCAGGGGAGGGGGGGTGATGAGAAGACTTTCTGGCTGAGACTATTAAGAGCTAACAATTATACAAGATTTTATTTTATTTTATTTTTAAAGGAATCTCACCCAACGTGGGGCTGGAACTCAAGACCCTGAGATCAAGAGTCGCACCCTCTATGGGCTGAGCCAGCCAGGCGCCCCTATATGACTTTTAGTGTACATTATACCCATTCTAGATCTGGGAAGACTGAAACCCCACAGAGTTAAAGGACTTGTCCCAGCTGGAACAGCTAGCAGGGAGTGGGGCTGGATTTGGACCGCAAGTTTCTGGCTCCAGAGCGCAGGTGTTTAACCGCGGCTGGAGGAGGCGCGGAGGGGTGGGGGTGGGGGGGACGACTGCACGCAAAGCTTGGGGGAACTTGAAATCGCTTGTGTGGTGACCCGGTCGTGGGAGGACGTTGGAGGAGAGTGGGGAGGGGTTCTGAGCGCAGGCCTCGGGTGGTGTCGCATGCACCTGACTCACTGCGTCCCCGAGCACGCCCTCCCCGCTCTCCGGGCCTGTTTTATCGCGTGTGAAATGGGAGCCACTCGGCCCGCTTCCCTCCCGGCTTGGGTGAGAAAACCCACGTGGGGCATTTGGCAGTCAGCGCTCATTAAATGCCAGCTGGGGTTATTATGATGATTACCCCCATTATTATCCTTAATAACTAATTAATTAGAACTAATGCGTCCTCTCCGCGTGCGACTGGGTCTCTCCGGGCCGGGAAGTTGGGAAGTTACGGGACCCCAAGGAGTGGCGAGCTCAGGCTCAGAATTCTCCCCCATCCCCCACGCCCCCAGCCCACCCCGCAAGCCTCCAGTCCACCCCGTCCTCCCCCCCACACACACACACATTAGGCCTCGTAAAGCTGCGGGCAGGCCAGGGTGGCGCGGGCCAGAAGGCAGGAGTCTGGGTGTGGGCGCCCCTTGCGTCGCCCCCCAGCCGGTGAGCGTCCCGCTAACGCCAAGGTGAGCCGTCGGGCGCTAGGACCGTCCCACCCCGCGGGAGCAGGGCGTGGGGGCCGGACTGGCCCCGAGGCCACGCCCCCTCTGATTATTGGCTCTCGGGCCCCGGCGCGCGGCCCCGATTGGTGGAGGCGGCCGCCAGCCCTCCCCGCCCCGCCCCACCCGGGCCTTAATTTGGGGTTTGGGGCCCGGAGGCTGCAGGCGCGCTCGGCGGGGCGGGCTTGGGCGGTGGCGCGGGGAGAGCCGGGCGCGGACGGCTCGCGCGCGGGGTTCGCGTCTGCCGCGCGCCAGGCCGGCCGGCCCGGGTGCGGAGCGCGGCCATGGGCCCGGGGCCCCCGGCGGCCGGAGCGGGGGCGCCGCCGCGGCCCCTGTCGGTGGCCGCGCGGCTGAGCTACGCGGTGGGCCACTTCCTCAACGACCTGTGCGCGTCCATGTGGTTCACCTACCTGCTGCTCTACCTGCACTCGGTGCGCGCCTACAGCTCGCGCGGCGCCGGCCTGCTCCTGCTGCTCGGCCAGGTGGCCGACGGGCTGTGCACGCCCCTCGTGGGCTACGAGGCCGACCGCGCCGCCGGCCGCTGCGTGCGCTGCGGCCCCCGAAAGGCCTGGCACCTGGTCGGTAAGTCGCGGCCGAGCCTCCTCCCTCCGACTGCCTGCCGCGGGGCCTTCCCCTTCTGCCTGCTTGCCTCGGGGCCTGAGCCTCCCCCAACGCACTGTTTGTCCCGGGGCCGAGCCCCCCTCCGCTGCTAGGCTGCCTGCCCCGGGGCCTGACGTCGTCTAGCCCACTGCCTGCCTCGGGGCCTGAGCCTCCCCCATCTGCCTGCCTGCCCTGGGGCCTGAGCCTACCCCAACGCAGTTTGTCCCTCCACTGCCAGCCTGCCTGCCCCGGGGCCTGACCTCTCCTAGCCCACTGCCTGCCTCGGGGCCTGAGCCTCCCCTCTCTGCCTGCCTGCCTGCCTGCCTGCCTGCCTGCTCTACGTCCTGAACCTCCTCTATCTGGCTGCTCAGTACCCTTCTATTGCCCCATCCTTGACCTCCTCCATCTGTCTGCTTAACTGCTCTGTGCTTCTTCCGTCTGCCACCTGACCACTCATGTGACCCTCCAGTGGCACTTCCCTTTGTCGTTCTGTCTGACCCCCATGGGCACCCTGAACCCTCTCTGGATTGGGTCTGACTGCCTGGTGGCACCTCTGTCAGTCGGCCTGGTCGGCTTGACTTTTTCATTTGTCTGTCTGGGTGACAACTCTGTCCGAGTGAGGGCCAGGCTGCCTGGAGCCCCCTCTGTCAGTCTGTCCCGTTTCTCCAGCGCACTCCTGCCCATCCTCTGCCCCATCATGGGGAACCTGGTGCTTGGGAGGTTTACGGGTGCTGCGCTGGGGAGCTAAGACTTGGGGGCCAGACGGAAGAGGCAGGGGTCTGCATGTGTCTGGCTGAGGAGGATGGGGTCTGTGGGCCCAACAGGGTCAAGCTGTGTCCTGGGGGAGTTGTCAGAACACCTCTGTTGGTGAGGGGAGGAGGCAGGTCCCCCAGGAGCCGGGGTGTCCTGCCCAGTGCACACCCTTGATAAGGCCTGCCTCCTGGCATCCCTTCTCTGCCACCACGGATCCTGGGCCGTGAGATTAGCCCCAGCCACTTTCTCTGCTGTTCTTTCCCTGGCAGAGGTGCCTGCTGCATCCTGGCATTTGGGTTCCGCTGGGCATTTCAGGAGGCAGGCACAGGAATCCTGCCCAATCCTGTGAATTCTGGGTGGCAGCTTTCTAGAAGCTAGGAGGGGCTGACCACTGCCTCCTTGCCCTTGGGAGCAGCGGCCGGGGAGGCAAGGATTCGCCCTGGGCCCTGGCGAGTGCTGTTTTTGCAAGGTGCAGCCGATCTCCAAGTGGCCCAAGTGGCCGGATGTCAGGTTTCTCGGGCACTGAGGACACCCAGGCTGCTCTTGGGTCACTTGAGACCATGGCAGCCAGGGAGGGAAGCAGGGGGAGACAGGAGACTCCGACAGACTGGTGATCACCTCATCTGAAAAACAGACGCGAGAGGTGCCCGTCTTTGGGCTGACGTTGGGATTGCTTGCAGAGCTGAGCCCAGTCTTCAATGCAGTTTTGTTCATAATAGATAAACTCATGGACAAACACACAAGACAGCCCCTAGGCCTGACCGGTGACAGAGGTGGGGAGTCTTTTCTCTGGGGCGGGCAGGGGAGACACCCCTGAGGAGACGGAGCCAGCTGTGGGAAGGTAGCTGGGCAGTGGACACTGCATGTGCCCCCAGGCCTGCCTGTGTGCCCCTCTCGTAGGTGGGAGGGTCCACCTGACCCCGGAGGAAGAATCTGAGTCCCCCGGCAGAGGCAGGAGTTAGGCACCTTTGTAAATAAAGAACTGAAGGCTTTGTGTTTATGTAAAACAGGCCTGGGGGATAGGTGTCCCTACGGGACCTCAAGGCCTCCACCTGCACCCCTTCTCTACCTCAGGGTGAGTATGTGGGGAGACCCAGGAGGATCTGTGGAGAGAGGAAACTGGGGCAGCTCCTCTTGGCCTGATAAGGTGGCTTGAGTGAATCACCTTGGAAACAGTGCCCACTTCTCTTTTTTTTGCCCCTGAGCCTGTGGGTGGTGGGTTCACTTTTCCCCTTAGCAGGCCCCCTGGGCTCCCCCGCTCTAGCCCAGAGAGGACCCTTAGAGCCATACATGGATTTTTCCCATGGGGTCCAGGCTGGGGCATGTGGGTGAACTGGGTTTCATAAGGGAGAAGTGGAGCTCTGAAGCTTTGGGGATTTGAAGGATGAATAGGAGTGTGTGTGTGTGGGGGGGGCATTCCAACCCATTGAATCAGCTGTGCAAGGGTGACATAGCCCAGCTTGGAAGCTGCTGAGGCAGGAAGTGGCTGAGAGCCATAGGAGCTCCCACTTTCATAGGTTAACTCCTGGTTCTCATGCTGACTTTGGGAGCTGGGTATTTTCAATGTCTGTACTTTTTGGAAACTGCGGCCCAGGGAGGGGAAGTCACTTGCCTCAAGTCCCCCGGCCAGGCAGCCTCATCCAGGCAATGGTTAACCTGGCCTGGCCAGCTTCAGGGTGGATTCTGGCAAGGGAAGCACATTCTTCTGACCAGAGTCTACATAGTTTGTGCCTGGCCCTGAGGCGGCCCCCGGGGCCCCCAGGCATGAGCTCAGGATGCCCCTCCCAGGCCCCAGTTCCAGAGAAATAGCAAGGAAGGGTGCCTTTGCTTTCATTTCCCCATCCCAGGATGCAGAGTTGGCCCCAGGGTCTACGGCATGAGGTCCTGAGCCTGGAGGGAGAGGGGAAGGCCAGCTGCCAGGCCCAGCAGGGGAGGGTGCTGAGCTGGGCCTGTCCTGGCAGAGGGAAGGAACATGGCTCAGGGCCCAGCGGCTCACACACTGAACCTGTGTCCTCATCTGGAAAGCGGGGAGAATAGGAACACCCGCTTCTTGGGGCTGTAAGTGGATGACATTAGTATAATTATACACTCACCCAAAAGATATGTGCCAGGCTCCGTGCTGGTGGCCAGGGCCCCAGAAATGACCTTGAGAGACCTATTGCCCACCCTCCCAGAGCCCAGTCTCCGCTGGGGGAGGCAGGCAGGAAACAAGCAGAGACAAAAGAATCCCTGTGTGGGCTAAGGCATGTGAGAGGAAAGCCGTGTCCAGATGGACTGTGTCAGCGCAGGGAGGGGACTGCTGGGGACTGTGGTGATCAGGGAAGTGTCAGCACAGGGAGGGGCCTGCTGGGGACTGCAGTGGTCAGGGAGAGCTTTGCTGAGGAGGTGGCATTTGAGTTGAGTCCTGAGGCACGAAAGGATGTGAGGGGAACAGCGGGCACAGCTGGTGCAAAGGCCCTGGGGCAGGACCGAGCCTCGTGTGCTGAGGCTAGGAGGCCTCCTTGTGTGGCTGGAGTGGGGGTGGGGGGTGGGGGGCAGGTCCTGCAGGGCCTGTTGGCTGCCCCCGCGCACTTGGGCTTCTTCTGAGGTATCAGGTAAAGGAAAGACCCCTTCATGAGCTGATAGGGACACTGGGGCTCAGGGAGGGCAGGGTCCACCGTAGCCTCACCCAGCATCACCTGGCCTCCTGACTGCTGGGTGCGCGGTGGGACGCTTGGCAGGAGCTGGGGGGCAAGCTCTGCCAGGAGGCGGGAAAGCAAGCGTGTCTGTGGCGGGCAGCGCTCCAGGGGACGCCGCAGGTGCTCTGTGCTTCTGTTTCCCCACCTGCCACCAAGGGAGCACCCCTGGGGAGCCCGAGGCTAGCAGGGGGAAGCCCCATTCTTGTCCTGTCTTATCACCTGGCCGTAGGTCCTGGCCCTGCTCTTGTACTTGCAGCACGTGACCTTGGGAACACAACAGCCCGTTGTGTGTCTCAGTTTCGCCAGCCCTGGGGGCACATAACCTGAACTGACAGGTGGAGCCCTGGCCCTGCTGTCCTCTTGGGCTGCATGACCTCAGGGGGACCCCAGGGCTCCCTGCCTCGGTTTCGCCATTTGTCACAGGAACTATTCCCCAGGGAAGCCGTGGGCCGCGGACCCCCCCCCCCCCGGTCTGTGACTGTGGAAGGGTCCCCACCAGGTCAGGCCCTGGGAGCCCGGGGCTGGTGTGGGAAGGCCCGTGGTGTGACCTCCCCGCTCTCTGCTCCTCCCCAGGTACCATCTGTGTCCTGCTGTCCTTCCCCTTCATCTTCAGCCCGTGTCTGGGCTGCGGGGCAGCCACGCCCGAGTGGGCCGCCCTCCTCTACTACGCGCCCTTCATCGTGATCTTCCAGTTCGGCTGGGCGGCTACGCAGATTGCCCACCTCAGCCTCATCCCAGAGCTGGCCACCAGCGACCACGAGAAGGTGGAGCTCACGGCCCTCAGGTGCGGCCTCCGTGCGAGCACAGCGGGCCAGGCCGGGAAGCGGCGGCCCTCCCGCGATCGGGCGCGGCTCTGGGACGGTCGAAGTGTGTTAGTGAGCCGTTGCCGCGTGAACGGCCAGAGCTAGCAGCTTCAGACAGCACGCGCGTATCAGCTCACGGTTTCTGTGGCTTCGGGGTCTGGCTCTGCTTAGCTGTATTTTCTTTTTTCTTCTTTTTGAAAATATTTATTTGAGAGTGGGGGGAGGGGCAGAGGGCGAGGGAGAATCTCAGACTCCGCTCAGCGCGGAGCCTCACACGGGTCTCGATCTCGCGACCCTGAGATCGTGACCTGAGCGGAAGCCAAGAGTTGGATGCTCGACCAACCGAGCCACCCAGGCGCCCCACCACTTAGCTGTACTTTCTGCTCCGTGGTCTCCCCTCAGGGTACTGGTTAGGGCAGGGGTCTCAGCTGAGGCTTAGGTTTTTCTAAGGATTTCCTGATTAGGTCTGGCTCACCCAGGATCATCTCCCTTAATTCCAGCTGCAGAATCCCTTTACCTTCGCCACAAAGTGTTGCCTCAACCTGGGAGTGACATCCCGTGTCCATAGGCCCCCTCCCCCAGGGGAGGGGTTGGACGGGGTGGGACCAGGGCCATCTTAGAATCCCGCCTGCAGGATGCGGCTAGCACTTGGCCTGTTGACTTGCTTGAGGTCCTGACAGACCTTCTGCTGGATAGGATGGTAACAGGAGCATTTATGGAGTGCTTGCTGTGTGCAGGCACATTTCTAGGCCCTTCACGAGGATTACCGTCTTTAATCCCCCTGGCAGTCCCGAGATCTGTCACGTGTCCTTGAGAGGGTCTGAGCAGCGTGCGTCCCCGAGGGACAGCGTGTGCTCGGAAGAGGGTAGAGGCTCGAGCTCCGGGAGGAAGGGCTAGCATGGGTGGTGGCGGCCGGCGTGGCTGGAGCTCAGGGAAGGGCTGCCCACGGGAGGGCGCCTGCGAGGTGTGCACTCCTCCTGCTGTCGTGGAAGCATCTTCACTGCGGCCCAGCCTGGCTTCCTCCCCGCCCTGCCCTTGGGTTCTGCATTCGGGCGTGGGCGCGGCCCCAGTGACAGGGGTTGCCCAGTGCCCAGGGCCCTGAGGGCCCCGAGGGCCCCAGCTGGCGGGTGGCTTGAGAGACCAGGCTCTGGGCCGCCTTCTACCGGCAGGCACGTTCCTGCCAGTCTTGTGGCCTCTCCACTTTGATCTCTGGGGTATTGGTCCCACTCTCACAAAGGGAAACTGAGTCCTGTGTGCGGTCCAGAGGCTCTGCCCCCACACCCCCAGCCCCTGGAGGGGCACCGTTCCGGGGCTACAAGCAGGAGGGGCCCCAGATGCTTCTAGACCAAGGCGCAGGATCTGGGAACCAAGAATCCCAAATCCTGGCTTCTGAGCGTCTCAGGTCTTCCCGGAGTCTCTGTACCCCCGGCCCAGGCAGCTGGGATGTCAGGGTGGAGTCGCGGGTTGGCCGTCAGTCATCACGTAACGGGCAGCAAGGGCTCTGCTGCGGCCACCCAGCGTTTGGTGGCCGAACGCCCCCCAACCAGAGATTCCCTGGAGGCCGGAAGCGGCTTTGGCAGCGTGGCCGGCGGCCCCGCGCTGAAGCCCGCCCTGCCCCCGCCAGGTACGCCTTCACCGTGGTGGCCAGCATCACCGTGTACAGTGCCGCCTGGGTGCTGCTCCACCTGCAGGGCTCCCCGAGCTTGGGGGGGGCCCGCAGGGTCACTGACCAGCTGGGCGTCCAAGACGTGCCGGTGTTCCAGGTGAGCGGGGCCCGGCTGGGACACCCCGGTGGCCCGAACCCAGGGCCCGGGCTGAGCGCGCAGCCGCTGACCCCTCTCCTGCCTGGCCTCCAGAACCTCTCCCTGCTGGTGGTGGGAGTCGGGGCCGTCTCTTCGCTGCTGTTCCATCTGGGCACCAGGGAAGGGCGCCGGCCTCGGGCGGAGGAGCCGGACGAGCACAGCCCGCTGCTGGCCCCCGCCACCGCCCGGCCCCTGCTGCTCTGGAAGCACTGGCTCCGGGAGCCGGCCTTCTATCAGGTGCGCTGCCGGGGGGCGCGGGGCTGCGGGCGGGGATGGCGGACACGGGGTGGGGGGCACGCAGTCCCTTTGCCGCCCTCCCTCCGTCACTGCTCCCCGCCCCGCCAGCCTGGCGGCCGGTCACCACGAGCGGCTCACGTGGGCCCCCCCAGCCCCCCAACCCCCCAACCCGAGCCTTCGGTTTGCCTGCCCGCAGGTGGGCTTGCTGTACATGAGCACGAGGCTCATCGTGAACCTGTCCCAGACGTACATAGCCATGTATCTCACCTACTCCCTCAACCTGCCCAAGGTGAGCTGGGGGGGCCGGATGGCGCAGGGGGTGGCACGGCCCCGGGGCCCCCCGTGCCCACACCCACTCTGCCCCAACAGAAGTTCATCGCCACCATCCCGCTGGTGATGTACCTCAGCGGTTTCTGCTCCTCCTTCCTCATGAAGCCAGTCAACAAGTGCATCGGGAGGAACGTAAGTGGGCAGGACGGGCGGAGGGGTGGGGGCCCCCACAGCTGAGGACCCCGAGAACTGGTGGCTCCAGACCGTGGCGTCCAGCCCGTGGCAGCCCCGGGTCTGGCTTCCGCGTGGCTCTGGGACTCCGTGCTGCCCGGGGCCGTGGCCGGCGGTGGCCCGGAGCCCTGGAACTCTGCAACTCTGGCCGGTGCAACTAAGGAGCTCGACACGTCACCGTGTTTGATTTTAATGGACCTGCGTCTGGCTGCAGCCTGCTCCGTCTCCACGCAGCTCCCCGGGGCTGGCTCGGCGTGCTTAGCACCCCTGGCCCCAGAACCCTCCGAGTCCGAGCTCGGGGTGCCGCAGGGAGGGTCCAGCTGGACCCCGTCCCTGCGGCGGCGGGCAGGGGGTCCGGCCGGCTGAAGACCGGGGAGGGCAGGCGCCACGCAGCGAGGCGGCCCTGATGCCGGCTGGCTCCCCCGCAGCTGACCTACTTCGCGGGCCTCCTGGTGATCCTGGCCTTCGCAGCCTGGGTGGCCCTGGCAGACGGGCTGGGCATGGCCGTCTACGCAGCAGCTGTGCTGCTGGGCACGGGCTGCGCCACCATCCTCGTCACCTCGCTGGCCATGACGGCCGACCTCATCGGCCCCCACACGGTAAGGCTGACGGGCGGGGCGTGCTGGGGGCCGCGGCCGCGCTGCGGCTGCTGACCTCCCTGCTCGTGTACCCAGCACAGCGGAGCCTTCGTGTACGGGGCCATGAGCTTCTCGGATAAAGTGGCCAACGGGCTGGCAGTCATGGCCATCCAGAGCCTGTATCCCTGCTCGTGAGTGCTGTTCATTTATTCGTGTAGTAAGAACGTGCTGTGCGTGCTGAGTGCCAGGCACTGCCCCGGGTCTGGGGGTTCAGCCTGGACGAAGGCCAGCGCACGGGTGGTGCCCGCACCCTGGGGAGACCCGCTTGCTCCTGACCTGGGGCACTTGGCGGGCTGTTGTGTGCTGGGGACACAGCGTCCGGACGTACTGGGGAAGTAGGAGTGGGCAGGGCCGGGGCAAAGCCAGAATCTGCGTTCAGACCCTCAGAACCTAGGGTTTTGGACCCAGATGGTTCTAGACCACTGGGTGGAGACTTATAGAAGCCTGGGATCTGGGAACAAAAGCCTGTTCCTCTGTCCTCACTGACCTGGGGGCAATACCAGCTCCTTTAATAAGCACAGAACTGTGTGATCCAAACCAGTGGCAAGGAGGTGGAGAAAACCCCAGTTATGAAGACCTGTCTGGGGCAAGAGGTCAGGGAGGGCTTCCTTGAGGAGGTGACATTGGACCGGAGACCTGTTAGGGAGTTCCAGGCAAATGGGGAGGAACCCCCAGTGCGAAGGTCCTGTGGTAGGACTGGGCTTGGTGTGTTGGGAGGAACAGGGGGAGGCCCGTGGGGTTGGAGCAGAGTAAGTGACGGGCAGGGAGGGAGGGGATGGGGCAGATGTGGGAGGAGGGTGTGGGTGGTGGAGGGTGACCCCCTGGTTCTGGCTACCCAACAGCTGAGCAGGAGGTCCAGGCTGGAGGGACCTGACAGATGGCAACTCACCTGCTTCTGCCCTCCCCCTAGCTTGGAGATTTGCTGCAGGGCCTGCATGGGCTTCTACCGCTGGGTGATGGTGGCCGCCACCGGCGGGGTGGGCGTGGCCGCCACCCTCTGTCTCTGCAGTCTCCTCATCTGGCCCATCCGCCTGCGGAGCTGTGAGTCCCAGCCACGCCCCACCCCGTGGGCCAGGGGCTGGAGGGCTGGAGGGCTGGAGGGCTGGGCCCCCCTCCACTGATTCCACCCCACCCCTTTCTCCTGCAGGGGACCCTGGAGCCCAGCCCTGATTCCACAGGCGCCACGGTTGCCGTCCTGTGCACATGAACTCTGTATACTCCAGGACCAGCTGAGGCCAGGAGCAGCCCTCCCTTCGTGCCGCCCCCACCTCCCATCCCTACCCCCGCATCCTTGCCTGGCTGTGGGGGCAGGACGCTCAGGATCCCAGACACGGAGCTCAGCGCTCTGGGATCCAGGGGTGCGCCCGGCTCACCCCTCACCCCAGGCTCGGGTGCAGTTTGCTACATGCCGCCAGGTCCCCCGACCACGACGTGGTCACTGAGCCTGACGGGAGCCTCAGGCAGGGGGTAGGGAGGAGCAAGGCCCATGCTCTGTGCCCAGGCCACTGCTGGCCACGAATAAAGAGCCACCCGTGGGTGAGGACTGTGGCCTCAGATGTGTGCCCAGAGCCCAGATTGGGGAGAGGGCAGCTGGTATGCCCTGCGTCTGCCTGCCTCTGGCCCAGTTTTGGTCACTGGGGTCTTGGTTGGGGGCTCCCTTGATCTGGCCGCTGGATCACGCAAGGTCCCCGGGGTCCCCAGAGGTGGACAGATGCACGGGGGTGGAGTCCCTGCAGCGGGCGGTGTCGGGCAGCATGAACTTTATCAGTGGGTGGGCGTGTAGACGGATGGGGGCCGTTGGATGGTGGAGGGACAGTAAGGTTCCAGGTCCCATTGCCTGTAGTTCTGCGTGGGGTGGCGCAGGCACCGGGGCGCTGACAGGAACGGCATGTCGTCAGACCCCTGCCACGGCGGCTCCGCCCGGTACCAGTGCCTGTTGACCACTGTGGGGCCAGGACCCAGGTCACCTCCTGTCGCCGGGCACTCTGAGCCCCAGCCGAGGTGGCCTGGCTCTCCCCGATCGCCCCCGCCTTCTCACCGTATTCCTTGCCCCGGCTGGGTCTGTCCGGCCACAGCGTGCTCCCCCACCGCGTGCTGGGGGCCCTGCACTGGGCAGGGAGGACAGGGTCGTACCAGGCGGTCTCCCGGAGGCGCTGCGTGTAGGCTGTTGGGGGGCGGGTAGGAGGTCATCTGTGGCCCTGGCCGTCCCCTTGGGGCTGGCCGGGGCGGGGGGGGGGGGGGCAGGCCAGGCTGAGCACTCACCGGGGGGCATGCTTTGCTCCCGGTGGCTGTGATGTCCATGCCATCGCGTGTAGGCCTCGCGGTATGGGCTGTCCGGAGCCCGTGGGACCGTGTACCAGGCTTCCCGGGACTCGGAATTGGTCAGGCCGGTGTAGCCCAGCTGACCGGCGGCGTCGTGCCCCATGGGGGCGTACTTCCAGCGCACTGCCTGCCTGGTGGCCGGTGTCCAGCGGGGCCCCTCCACGGACAGGTAGTCGTCGCTGAGGGGGTGAGGGCAGGAGACAGAGGCTGAGTCTGGGGCCCGCCCCTGCCCTCAAATGGGCCTTTTCACCCTCTGCCCTGCATTGCCGGCGTGCACACCCCCGGCCCAGCCTGGCAGAGGAGAGGGGGTGCTAAGCCCTGTAGTCCCCGCCCCTCTAACCCCCCAGGACCCTCATTAAACCTTCCACTATGTCAGCACTTCTGGCCCATCCCCCAGGGACACGGGGTGCCACTAAGGAGGCAGCTGCAGCCCAGTGCAGGTGGGCGTACAAAGGCCCTGGGGCAGCAGGGAACGGCATAAGGAGCAGGGCTGCAGTGCAGAGATGGAAGTACGCTAACAACGATCAAGGTCGAGGGGCGCCCGGTGGTGCAGTCGGGGGAGCGTGCGACTCAATCTCGGAGTCGTGAGTTTGAGCCCGATGGTGGGTGTGGAAAGGACTCAAAAATAAAATCTTAAAAATTGAATCTCTAGGGCGCCTGGGTGGCTCAGTTGGTTAAGCGACTGCCTTCGGCTCAGGTCATGATCCTGGAGTCCCTGGATCGAGTCCCGCATCGGGCTCCCTGCTCGGCAGGGAGTCTGCTTCTCCCTCTGACCCTCCTCCCTCTCATGTGCTCTCTCTCTCATTCTGTCAAATAAATAAATAAAATCTTAAAAAAAAAAAAAATTTGAATCTCTATGTGGTACCATTAAAAATGAAAGCAGAAAAAAAAACCCAGAAGTGGAAGAAACCCCCAAAGCTGCTAAAGCTGCAGGGAAACTTGCTTGGGCAGAAACCTCAAGTGGCCGTTCCTTCCTGAAGGCCTGGTAGTAGCAACACTGCCCGAGAAGAGAAGGACGAGCAGGCGCTTCGCCCCGGTGGTCGGGGGCGCTGTTGACCACAGGCTCTTTCACCTGCGCCTTGCACGGCCCAGAGATCACGGAAAACTGGAAACCCACAGGTCTCCTCGAGGGTGGGTGAGCCTGGAAGGTTCTGGGACATCAGTCTCGGGAACCCGACACACACGGAGTTTGCCACGCGCTCAAAGGGGAACTTCACCATCTTGGGTACCCCGCCCTCGTGAAACGAACACTTCTGAACCGTAACGTGCACGGAACTTGTAAAACACAAGGACTATGGTCTAACGTAACAATGAGAAGTAGGTCTCTCTCGGTCAAACGTCAGTTTAACAAATGAAGAGCAGCACCTTAGAACTGGAAGAAACCCCCAAGTGAATGCTTGCTTGGTCCGCAGTCCAGAGAGTTCCTGCCCCTGGAAACAGCCAGGGCCGCCGGCCCCTGCACCCGGGTTTGCAGCGCGTGCTGCGCGTCCCCCTTCTGCAGCACAGACGTGCAGTGGGGCGGCCCACGGGCACCTGCCTTCCTACGTCTGCACCGTCCCCCGTTACGGTGCACTTCTCCAGGCCACTGCAGTGAAAGGGCCCCCCAGATCCATGCCCACCTGGTATCTCAGAACAACCCCACTGGGAAACAGTCTCAGCAGACACAGTTGCTAAGCTGCGGGCCTGTGGGGCTGGGCTGGCCCTCGTGCAGTGCCTGGTGTCCTTGGAAGGGGGAGCCTGGACACAGAGAAGGCTATGTGACACAGGGGCACAGATCGGGGTGACGTGTCCTCAGAGGGCACCGAGCACTGCCAGAAAGGCACTAAAACGGGGAGGCCTGGGAGAGCTGCTCCCTCAGGCCCCAGGGCCTCTGTACGCCCACCTGCACTGGGCTGCAGCTGCCTCCTTAGTGGCACCCCGTGTCCCTGCAGAAGACTCCTGGAGAGACCTGGTCAGTTCTGCGGGCCGTGCCCATGCCCACAGCGGACCCCTCACCTGCGGTGCCCACGCACGCCCTGCTCTGGCCCCAGGTGGGGAGGGGAGTACCAGGTGCAGGTGGGCCAGGAGATACGGGGTGCAGCCAGGTTAGGATGGGGCGAGGGTACAGCACCAACGTGCCTTGACTGAAGAGCAAATGACACGCAAGAGAAGCCAAACCAAATGCCATCAGGCCCGAAACACAGAGGTGGCGCGTGGCCGTGGCGGACACTCACCTGTACAGAGGTGCTGGGAAATCTGCTTCGAGGGTCCCCCGGGGGACGTAGGGCCTGGCAGCCTCCCGCCGCAGGGTCTGCATGTCTGCCTCTGGGTCCCCAGGGGCTCTCATGCCTGGAAGGCCTGTGGGGCCATTGTTGACAGCGACAAAGGCCACCCTTGGTGTCCTGGCAACGGTACTGGCCAGCGCGGGCCCCCATCCAGACAGCTCCCTCCCTCCCCCAGCGGAGGATGGCAGGATGGCAGGGCCAGGCGGGGGGAGGCACGGGGGAGGCGCTGGCCGTGAGCCCCGGGCTCCCTGTGCCCGACCCAGGCTCCCACCTCCTCCTCTCTGGGCCCCTCAGAACAGCCCCACGGGCTCTCTGGGCCGTGCCATCCAGCGCACCCTTCCAGGAGCTCCAGCTGGGACCCCCCCCCATTCCCAGCCCTCCCTCCTCACCCCCAACCCTGCCCCTCTTCTGCTTCTGAGCTACACTCAGAGCAAGACCTGCAGGCATGCGCGCACAGCAGCTCGGTCCACAGTCCGCAACCGCACTGCGGACACACAGACCACGGTCCCCACGCACGGCCCCGGGGACGGACTCCGAGCCCACGACGCTCAGGGAGGGAACCAGACACGGAAGGCCACACGGGGTGTGAGTCCATTTATGTGAAACATCCAGAACAGGCACATCCAGGGATGGGAAGGGGGCTCGGGGGTGGGGGTGGGGGGAGTGACAGCTGATGGGATGGGGTTACGGAATGTTCTGGAGCTAGAGACAGCAGCACAACCTCATGAATGTACCAAAAATCACTGAATTACATGCCTTAAGATGGTAAATGGTAATGCATATTTTACCACAGTAACGACAACGGTAGCAAGAACTGGAGGTCTGCCTGCCCCTCACTTGCACCTGCTCCTGGCTGCCTGGGCCGCGCCTCCTGGCTCCGTGCCCGGCCCTGCTGCTGGGTCTCACGCAGTCTCCCCACTTCCCTCTTGGTGCACACCCAGGGCTCCCGCTGCCTAGGGGTAGAAGCCCAAGTCGTCCCTGTGGTCCCCAAGGCCCTGCCGCCCCTGCCCTGTCCCCTCCCCTGTGCAGCTCCAGAGCCTCCGCAGGGACTGTGCCCTCTGTCCGCACCCCCACCCCCACTCCCTGCTCTCTGGGCCCCTGATCACTCGGCTCCGTCCCTGGGTTCACAGGTGCCCCACCCCAGGGCCTCCTGCCCCGTCGCAGCCACATGCTTCTCACTGTCCACCACAGCTGGGGCCCACGAGGGCAGGCGCTGCGGTCGTCTCTCTGGTCCCCACTGCCCAGGACAGGGCTCCTCACCTGCAGGGAAGGGCCTGGGTGCTGGCCAGCCGTGGGCAGCTGCTCACTGTAGGGGGGGCTCACCCTTCTTCTCCGGAACCCCTGGGGCCCCTGACCTGCCGGGTCCTGCTGCAGTCACCACTCCTCTGGCCTGGGCTGGCTTTCCTCTCCAGCCCCAAGACCCTCTGCTCCCCTTGATCACCTCCAAATCCCCCTCTTCTATGGTCCTCGCGGGCGTCCTCAGCCCCCACTCCTGCCGCCCCCCCACGTCCTCCCCTGCGGCCTCCCTGCCCCCCACAGGCCCCTGCCTCACCCCCCCCACTACTACTAAATCGCTTTCCCTTTCCCACAAAAGCCACATGCAAGGATCAACAGAAACAACTCTTGCCTGCCCCCCACACCCCCAGCCTCCCCTGAGATGCTGGGCCAGCGAGGTCACCCACTGGCCTCAGTTTCCCCATCTGTCAGGTGGAGGGGGCAGCAGCGTGTGCCCCACCTGACAGCTGCTGTGCGGCCCCCTCACCTCTAACACCCCCCCCCCCGTCCTCATCTGCTCCTCCGCCCGCGGCCCTCCCTTTACCCCGCCACTCCCGCCCTACTCTCCCCCTTCCAGATGGCAGCCAGGGGGGTGCCTCCTCCCCACAGCAGCCACACCCTAGCTGGGCCACAAGCGCTGGCCACACCCCCGTCCTCGGCCCCAGGGGACCCTGAACTCGGGGTCACCGGCACCTCTTGTAGACTGCCCGTGAGTCTTCTCCATAACCAGCTCAGCCAGGACGAGCTGCCTGCCCCCGTGTGCGACATCTAGACACCCCAGCTGGGGACCAGACAGATGGACAGCCAGCCCTAGCAGTGCATGAACCCACAACTGGTTTAATGACGACGACGCATTTCACAAGAAACAAGGCTCGCTCTGCACCAGGCGCCCCCCGTCCGCTGCCGTGCACTTAGCCCCACGCAGACTCCCGCCCCGCTGTCCCAACTCCCAGGCGCGGGTCCGCCAGGCGGGGGTCCTCCAGGCCGGGGGGCACGGTGTCCCAGGCACAGCCAGCTCCTAGGCTCCGGCAACTGCACAAGGCGAGCGCGTGGCCGAGTCAGGGCTGTTTTCTTAAAAAAACACTCAAACAAAAATAACTTGACCAATCAAAACACACACATCTATGTACACTGTCCCTCGTCCGTCCCGCGGCAGGCAGATGCGGGGCCTGGGGCTGGGGCGGCGGGCTCCCACCGCTCCCCTGGTTCAGGCAGGTTCAGCTCATCGGGAGCGGTAAGCGCTGTCCCCCCCCGTGGGTAGTGGGTGAGCCACTGCTCCTTCCCCACCAGCCTGAAACTTTGCTGGGACCAACCTACAAGAACACAAACAAGTCCAAAGAAAAGTCACAAGTACATATATACATGTGCACACACATGGCCAACGGAGGGGGGCACAAGGCCAATGGGACCCGGAGGGGCTCTGCTGGACTCCCCCAGCCCAGGCCTGCCCCACCCTGTCCACTCCATCAGCACCCCGTGATCCAGGAGGGGAGGGGAGGGGGAGGGGGAGGACTGCTACTCATGCCCCCGGCCACATGCAGACCCTCCCTTCCTCCCTCTTGGTCTCCTGGTCTGGAGATGAGGCAGGAGGGAGATGGGCTCACGGGCAGCTGCGGACAGAGCAGAGTGGGTTGGGGGAAGCTCAGGAAGTTTCTGGAGGAACCTACGGGTGCCTCCTCCCCTGGCTGCCCCACGGCAATGGCACAGATGGACAGGACCCAATGGGGTGGCCTGGGGTAGGGGAAGGGGCTGGGGAGGAGGGGCCAGATGCCCACAGGACCCGGCCCTTAGGGTCGATTCTGCCCTTGGGTCACCCTGACCAGCTGCCCAGCAAGCCACAAGCACCTGAGTCCTGCTTGGGGATAAAACAGGGCCGTGACCCCCGTTAGTAACAAGGACAGTGCGGGGTCAGGGTAAGCACAACACAGAGAGCGGGCCTGTCTCATTTTCTGCAGACAACAAGTCCATCTCGAGATGACCTCCTTCGGCCTGGACACTGCCTGGGGCGCGCTCCTGACGTGGCGCCGTGCCCCCGAGGAAGTCAGCGGCGTGGCTGCCGGGGCAAGGGCGGTGGGACTGGCCACAGAGAAACCTATCAGGTGGCTCTGTCCCTCTGATCCATGGGCCGACCCCAGCCGTCTGCCCAGCCCCATCTGAGCGGCCTGGCGTCCAGCTGTCTGTCCCGTAGGCGTGAGTGGTGATGGCGGTGGTGACGGTGAGCACGTGCTTCTGGGAAGAGCATGCAGCCCCGACGATGAAGCGGCGGACGCAGAGGGAAGCAGGCTGGGTCCCAGGAGGCGTCCATCGTGCTCCGAGCTGAGCAGCCAGACAGATGGTCCCTGCTGGGGCCCGGCCACGTCCCCGCCCCAAACACCGGCTGCCAGGGTTCACAATCAGGCTTTAATGAGAATCTTCAGGATCTCTCCAGGCCCGACTCCCCACCCGCCCCGGCTGTCTCCTCTAGGGACCGCGTGCTGGGGAGGGGAGGGTCCATGCACGCCGATGAGAGGTGGGACTCTTCTGACCCAGACGGTGAGGCCCGAGGCTTTACCGGATCCTGGTGAAGAGGTTGAGGACTGACACGGACTCCTGCAGGGCACACAGGAGGGACTGCTGAGCCCGCAGCCCCTGGGCGACCTCACCTCCCAGTAACCGCGGGCCGCTCGGCCAGGCCATCAGGGCGCTGGGGAAGGAACTTCTGCCTGGAGGGCATGCGAGGCTTTGGGCCAGGGGAGCCTGTGGGCACCTTCCCCAGCACCCCGAGGCGGGGGGTGGGGGAGCCAGGCTCTGAGTGCCTTGTGCCACGCGGCTGGGGCTGTGCGGCGAGGCGGGAGCAGAGACAGAGGGGACATGGGCGTCCCAGAGGAGCCTCCCGGGGAGACCAGAGCCGACGGGGTAAATGGGCTGGTTGGGTGATTGGGGGAGGGGAGCCCCCAGGACAGGCTGAGGGACGCGCGTGGGGGAACATCTGGCTCTGATACCGACCCACTTTACCTTTGTCGAACGGGTTTTGCTAAAGACGTTCCAGAACCTCAGCGTTTCATCCCCAGCACCAGTGACTATGGCCTCTCCATCAGGGGACATGGCCTGCGGAAGGGAGGAGACAGACCCCCCACCCTTGGCCTTATGCCCTGCAGGCAGCCCTACTCGGACAGGGCTGCCGGAATGCAGCCAGGGGCGGGGGACAGGCCCCACCGAGGCCACACAACAGAGCCGTGGTTAGAGCACCCTGGTCAAAACACAAGGCCGCCCCCCACCCGCTGCAAGGAGAAAGAGTCTGTTCTGTAAAATCGGACAAATGATAAGTGGGTTTTAAGCACAAAACATTTTGTTCTGAAAAGAAAAAAAAAAAAGCACATCTGCAGACAGGAGGGGTCCTTCGTCCAAGCCAGAGCACATGGCGATCTGGTGAAACGATCAGAGATCAGCCGAGGGCTCAGACCTGGGTTACCTAGCGAGATTTCTTTCTGTGCATGTCCAAAAACACACAAAAGAGTGGAGGAAGGGTAGGGATTCGGGAAAGCAGACTCCGGGTGGTGGGACAACCTGGCCGTGCAGACAGGAGCCCATCCTGCTGTCCAGGCCTGGAGGCTGCCCGGGCAGGGGGACGCGGAGGCAGGGGCTGCACGGGGGCACAGGACAGTGGTGTTCTTCCAGACCCCGGGCGGGGCAGACTCACCAGGTACAAGACCCTGTAGGAGTGCCCGGTCAGCTTTGCCACCTGGGTCAGGGACGGGTACTTCCAGACCAGGATCTGGTTCTGCGAGTAGCCGTGTGTGCTCACCTGGGGGGTGGAGCGCGCACTGTCGGAACTCAGGCCCCCCTTCTGGGGCCCTGGGGCTCAGACGCAGGTGGTCCGATGCACCCACCCGGGAACCATCTTGGGCTCGCTGGGCAAGGCGCGGAGGCCACAGGTGACCGCCCTCGCTCCCTGCGAGCCTGTCTGGTGCTCCCCCCACCTCCCGCCTGCGACACCGGGCTCGTCTGCCCCCAGCTCCTCACAGAGGGCCTCTGAAGGCCTTCCAGCCACGAGGAGAGGCGCGCACTCACCAGCTCGTTGGCGTGCTTGGACCAGGCGAGGTTGCACACCTGGGAGCCTGTATCGATGCACTGCAGAGGCTGCCCCGTGAGCGTGTTCCAGAAGCGGATGCAGCGGTCGGCCGTGCCACCACCGGACGCCAGCAGCCCGTGCTGGTGTGGGGACCAGGCGATGGCCTTCACGGCTGCCAAATGCTCCGTGTACTGCTGCACAGGGCTCAGGCTTGAGTGGTTCCAGACCAGCAGCTGCAGGGGCAGCGACGTGAGGCCCCCCGCCGCGGACAGCACCCGCATCGCCCCTGCCCTGCGACGGAAGGGACGACCCGAGGCCGGGAGGGCGGGGGCCCCGGGGCGCCTACCTTGTTGTCGTTGCCCCCCGAGGCGAGGAGCTGGTGGTCCGTGGACCACTTGAGCCCACACACCTCCTGCCGGTGGCCCTGCAGCCGCCGCTCCGACTGCAGGGGCGGGGTCCGGATGTCCCTCTGCAGGATCATGCGGTCCCGGCTCCCAGACGAGAGCTGGTCAGCATTCCAGGCCAGCGCCCCTGGAGGCCGGGCAGAGGGCAAGGGAGGCTGAGTCCTGGCCCCCCCCGCCCCCCCGAGATCACACCTGCCCCCTGGGGCCCAGGTGGCTCCTCACCGACACGAGCCGTGTGTCCTTCCAGCATGGACAGCTTCTTCCCTGCAGCCGCATCCCAGATCTGCACAAAGCCCTTGTGCGTGCCCACGGCCACGAGGTTCCCCTAGAACGAATCGCACGGGGAGAGAGTGGGCATCAGGCCCAGGCGCAGGGCCCTCTCCCTGACTGGCCACCCTGGCTCTCTTCTCCCTCCTTGCTGCAGGGCCTTGCGCACCGAACCCAGGATGAGCTCTGGGGGAAGCATCCCACTTCTCTGCGAGTTCCTTTGGGCCAAGAGGATACCCCTCCTTGGAACCCTCTGGGAAAATGGGTCACACAGACACTCTAGCTGACACACTGAACATCTGTGTGCTTCCACGCGTGGGGGGGGGGGCAGTCCGCACGGGACCAAGTCTGAGGAGCCCCATCACTGTAACCCAGGCTGGGGACAGGCAGGGGTGCTGAGGCCACTCCTGCAGCTTAGACGAGTGACCTCCAGGCTGGGGTCTGAAGCCCCCTCAGCACTGGGCAGGGCCCCCACCAGGGAGACCGGGTCAGATGTCCCCAGTGCCAGCCCTGCCCAGCTGGGGGACAGGGCCCGGGTACTGACCCGTTCAGACCAGCCCACAGACGTCACTGAGTCCCCTTCCACTGAGAGGTCGCAGAGCCGGGTCACCTGGGGAGATGGGAAGCAGGCGGTGTGAGCCACGGGCTGCCCGCCGGGCCTCCGAGGCCCTCCCCATCTGTTCCTCCCTCTGTCCGCCCCCAAACCACCGTTCACTTGCTCGGGAATACCTCAGGCCCGCGCGCACTGCTGTCAGTGCTGAGACCCGGGGCAATGTGGCCGGGGTGCTCAGGAGGCTGCACCCCGGGGCGGGGGGGGGGTGCCACACAACAGCATGGGGATTACAGACTGCACAGAGCCTAGGCGGGGGGGGGGGGGGGGGGGGGTGACCAGGGCACCATGCTGCAGGCGGAGGCCACAGACTGTCATGTGCTGAGGGGTGGCCCTTTCTCTGAGGCAGCTTCAGCCTCCTCTGGAACCCACTTGCATTTGGTTTTATTCCCGAAAACAGCCCACCTCAAAGAGCAGTGGGTTCCTGCCCTGCAGGCCCTGAACCCCAGCAGCGACTCCAAGAGATTTACTGCTGAGGCAGGTGTGAGGACCACCACCAAGGACGCGGCCCTCATGGCAGTCCCCAGGCTGTGCTGGGCCTAGACCCCATCCCTCTTCTGCTGACACGGAGGAACTGGGGAGGCTGCGGCCCCCCCGCAGGAAGGGGTAGGCCCTGGGGGCATGCGGCTGGTGCTGCCCTGGACCCTGGGGACTGGCTCAGTCCTGCCTGATCCCCCCACCCCCCCAACGCACGCTCGCTCAGTGGCGCCACCTGGCTGGTGCAGGCACTCCACAGGTACACGCAGGTCCCCAGCCCCACGCTAAGCACGTTGAGGGATGACCAGTCCACCAGATTCAGGTAGAAGTCGTCCTGCAGCTCTGGTGCGTCCAGGACCTTGAAGGGGATCTTGGAGATCTTACGGGTAGGTTTCCGTGGCGACCGCAGTAGCTTCTGACTGCAGGGAGGGAGAGCCACCTCGTGATCTCCTCTCCTCCTCTGCAGCCCTAGGAGCACTAGGCTCCCCCCGTTGGGGTCTCCTGCTCATCCCGCCCCGCCTTCTGCCCCCCATGTGATCCCAAAGCTACGGGTGACCCAGTGGCCACCAACCTCCCTGAGCTCTGACAGCCACACAATGCCCTCTGCCCGGCACCTCCTCTGGGGAGCCATCCCTGACTCCCGTCTGGGCCCAAGGCCACTGAGCCTGCAGTGCATCCCCAGGGAGGCCCCCTGAGCCACCCCTGCCCCCCTGAGCACAGTTCTCGGACCAATCTTGGCTCCCAAGCACCGCCTGGCTGCCTGTCCTGCCCTGTCCCAACCCCCACAGGCTCAGACTCACCTTTTGTTGCTGACAGGGGACAAGGAGTAGGGAGACACATCGTTGCCATCGTCAGGGCTGGAGCGCTTGGTGCTGAGGGAATACTGGAGGCAGGGGAGGGGGACACCTGCTGAGTGGAGCCTCGGCCGAGCTCAGGGACCTCCCGCCCGAAGCCCTGGTGCCCCCGCGCTGCCGGAGGCTGGGCAGGAGGGCAGGGTGTGCACCGAACCCGGGATGAGCTTTGGTGAGAAGCATTCAGAGAAGCCAACCAGGCCTCGGGCCTGAGGTGTCGTCTGGACAGTGACTCGCCCGTGTCGGCCTCCCCGCTGCCCCCCATGGCCACGAGCCCCCTTGGCCATCTCTCAGGAGACCCAAACCAGGCTCCTTCCAACACTGCGCGGGGGCTGCCCCGAGGCTCAGGACCGTGAACTTGGCACCTGGCCCAGCACTGCCTTCGTGGCAGCAGGAGAGCAAAGCCTTGGTTAGAGGCGTGGGGTTAAGCGGCTCCCAGGGTGAGCGCGGGAGGGCAAGTGGGGAGCCGGGCCGGCTGGCTCACCGTGAACAGGCCCTTCTTCTCAGGCGTGGAAGGCTGCAGCCTGCGGTCCTCTGTCTGAGGGTCCTGCACCTTCTCAATGCCGGCTCCCAGCAGCTCGTTCTTCAGCAAGGCGGAGTAGGCCAGGCCGTCTGCAGGCAGGGGGCTCCATGAGGCCAGGCAGGGGCAGGGGGCCGGGATGCGGGGCGGGGGGTGGGGGGGCCTGACTCCTGACCTTTGCCGTTGTCTGAGGTGGCGTCCTTGGCTTTCCGGTTTTGGCTGGGAGACTTCTCATTTTCCTGTGGGAGACGGGGGCAAAGGAGGCAGGGCCAGCTGGAGCTAGCTCCCGGCTCACCGGCCCCCCGGCCCTGGCCCTGCCCCGCTGCCCTCTGGGCAGCCCCTCACATTGATCCTGTGGAAATTCACGCTCCAGTTGGCCCCGGCTCTGGAAGGGATGAAGCGGTCTCCATGCTTGCTGGGGGAGGACACGGGAGAGTTGGCGGGCGTCAGGGTTCGCCGCATCTCTGCCACCTGCAAGGACAGAGGGGCTGGGCTGGTGCTGCGGAGCCCTCAGTGTGCAGGGCCGAGGCCAGCTTCCCCTCTCAGACCCTGAGGCCAGGCCTGGCCTGCCTCCCTGCACTCGGCCTCTGGCCGCTGACCCAGAGGATCGAGTTTAGAAATCCGGGTGGCAGAGGTGAGACGGTGAGTGAGCCACGTGCTCGGTCTGGCCTCCCTGGTCCGGGAGGCCGGACACCGGCGAGCGGCAGAGGGCACAGTACAGACCGAAGACCCTGGTCCCTGTGCGCAGAGAGCTGCCGCCCCGTCAGCCCCATCTCCATCAGGCAAGGACGGTCCCCCGTGCAACCGCGAGTCACTCACCAGAACTGGGGAGTGGACGCGGGGGCACGGTTCCCAGAAAACCAGCCCACCCCCCTCGACTGTCCCAGAAATGCCCCCTTTTTAAAAGATTTTATTTATTTATTTGAGACAGAGAGAATGAGAGACAGAGAGCATGAGAGGGGGAGGGTCAGAGGGAGAAGCAGTCTCCCCGCTGAGCAGGGAGCCCGATGCGGGACTCGATCCCGGGACTCCAGGATCATGACCTGACCCGAAGGCAGTCGCTTAACCAACTGAGCCACCCAGGCGCCCCGAAATGCCCCTTTTTCTATAAGGGATCTGCAGTGGATTGAACTGTGTCTCCCAAAAAGACACATTGAAGTTCTAATCCCCGGGCACCTGGGATGTGACCTTATTCAGACACAGAGTCTTTGCAGGTGTCCTCCGGGTAAGACGAGGCCACGCTGGAGTGGGATGGGCCCCAAATCCACGCTCCGTGTCCTTCTAAGAGTCAGAGATGCCGACATCTCTGAGTGCCGACATGCACAGAGAAGGGGACACGAAGACAAGGCAGAGAAGGGAGTGGTCGCTCTGAAACCAAGGATTGCCGGCCACACCAGCAGCTGGGGGAGGCAGGAGGGGCTCCCCCAAAAGGCCCCCCAGAAGGAGCGTGGCCCTGAGACACCACAGGTGGAGGCCTCGACTGCCCGGCGCAGAGCTCAGAGAGCGTGGAGCGGAGCAGCGAGCACAGCCTGGGACCGGTCAGGAGCCCATGACACAGGCAGCGTGGCTGAGGGGGTGGGGTACAGGAAAGAGGCGCCCCCAAATGCTGCTGGCTCCCCGCAGATAAGGACCAGGCCACCTCATGCCACCATCACACCTCTGCCCGGTGAGGCCAGCCCCACAGCTCTGAACCCCAGCTCGGAGACATTGGGCCCTTCACCTCCCTCTCTGGAAACTGAGAGCAGCTCACCTCCCCTGCCCCCCTCCTCAGTCCTGAGTGCGGCCCCACGGGAACAGGGGTCTGGAAGCTGACGGCCCATGTGGGCTCCTGCAGCAGGAGGCGCGCAGGAAGCCCGAGGAGGGGACTCCCTGGCGTGTGGCTGTGCCTCTCACCTGCCCTGCACCCCATCCTCTGCAGGGTGGAGCCCAGCGGCTCACTGCAGTCCCCACCCAGCCCCCGCGTGGAGCCAGGACAGTGCCAGCGGGGGTGGGGTCCAGGTACTCACGCAGGGCATCGTGTTCTCATTCTGAACAACGATCTGCCGGAGGAGGCGCCGCTCATAGTCCTGGTCCATGGCGACGCAGGGCAGGCCCAGCCCGCCGGCCAACGTCAGCCGGCCAAGGTCAGCCTGGGGCAGGAAGGGCAGGAGAGGTCAGCACCAGTAGGCAGCAGCCCCCTCCACTGCCTGGTGACCCCAGGGAACTCCATGGTGATGGCCAGGCCCCCCACCACGTGTAGGACCTCCCTCCCGGGAACCAGGGTGAGGGAAGCCACAGCGGGATGTGACAGGGAGGACTGGGGAGAGACCAGGGCTCCCCCTGGCCTTTATCCTGGTTAGTGCAAGTCTCTCATTTATTCCTGGGCCATGAAGCTCGCCCTAGGACCATCCCTCCAACCCATGCACCCCATCATGTTGCCTTCCTCCTTCAGATCCTGAGGCCACAAACTGCCCCCCAAACCACATCCAGCCCTGAGATTGGGGGGGGGGGCTGAACAAGGGCTGAAGTGGTCCCAGCATGGGTTCCTCCAAGTGGGGAAGCCTCTGTGTCCTAAAGCAAGAACGGGGCCATAGTCCTCACCCTGCAGGACCATGTGTGCAAGCGGGTGGGGTTCAACAGCACCCCTTTGTAGAGCTCATACCCACCCCCCCCTGCGCTCAACCCAGCTCAGAAGCCTTCTCTAAAAGGAGTGAGAAGAGGGGAGGTAGCAGCAGAATGTTCTACAAGGAGCACATGCAGCAAGAAAGGGCTGAGCGCTGTCCAGCACGAGGGGGAGCGAGCGGCCACCGCGGAGAGAACGATGCTCTTCACCGCAGGGTTGACACCGGGCCCAGAGCCAGCGGCTGCTTGCAGAAACCAATGGGAAATGTCTGCCAGCCGTGCCTCCCCTTGGAGGTACCGCAGAGCCTCTGGAGGCTGAAGCAAGAGTTCGGGGGACAGAGCCTGGCACAGGGGGTGCTCAGAGGACTGCAGCTTCCCAAGGAGCACCTGCTCTCACCCCAGACCCCCCGCACGCTCACAGTCACCGTCCCTCTGCTACTCTGGCTGCAGCCCAGGGCTGGGACAGGAAAATATCACCAAACTGAAAAGCAAAACCTGGCCAAAAATTAAAAGTTTACGAATTCCGAGGTGTAGCACCCTGGAGAAGTCAACGCTTGGCTTAAAAAAAAAAATTACAGTAAGAGACACGTAACAGAAACTGTAGCATCGTAACCATTTTCAGTGCACACTCAGCTCAGCGGCATGAAGCCCACTCACGCGGTTCTGCGAACACCCTCAGCATCCGGCTCCAGAACTTTCTCATCCTCTCGAACTGAGACTCTGTCCCCAGGAAGCACCAACTCCCCACCCCATCCCCATGAGCTCCTCGCCACACACACACACACCCACGTGACCCAGGAATTCCACTTCTAGGTATATGCCCTGGAGAAAGGAAGGCAGACCCACACCGAGACTAGGACTCTCGTGTCCTGACTAGCGTTATTCGTAACAGCCAAAAAAACAGAGACTCCCAAGTGTCTCCCCACAGATGAAGGATAAATACAGTGCAGTCCATCCACACACTGAAATGTGATTCAGCCTTAAAAGGAAAAGCTGTTTTGACACCTGCTCCAACATGGATGCACCTGGAAGACACCGCGCTCAGCGAGAAGCCAGACGAGGGACACATCCTGCGCAATCCCACTTGTAGGGGCTCCCCAGAGGGTCCCGTGCACAGAGACAGAGAGTAGACCAGAGAGAACGTTTGCCCTTTCAAACAAAGACACCTGAGGACGCCTCGGTGGCTCAGTTAAGTGTCTGCATTTGGCTCAGGTCATGATCCTGGGGTCGCAGATCAAGCCCCGCATCGGGCTCCCTGCTCAGCGAGGAGTCTGCTTCTCCCTCTCCTTCCAGCCCTCCCTCTGCTTGTGCTCTCTCTCAGATAAGTAAACTTCAAACAAAGACACCCAAGGAAAGTACTAGCTTTGTGGCACCCAGGAGGGAGCAGACCTGGGGGAACACCACTCACACCTCTCCAGCTGTGGCCACACGAGGAGACATTCAGGCCAACCTCCCTAAGTCCTACTTTCAACATCCCCAAATGGCCTCTCTGATGGGTTCCTGGGCCTGCGGCGGACAGACCGGGTACAGCACGTGGCTGAAGGACCAGCGTGAGCCTGCTGAGTTCTTTACCCTCACCTGCGACGGGGGGACATGGAGGGCTGGCCTGGTGTGGTCCAGCCCAAAGCCAAGCCAGGTGGATCAGACTCACAGGAACATGAGCATGGCCCCTAGTCACCACTGGGTGTCCCACACCACGTTCCGTTACCACGTTAGTGGGCGCTCTCAGTGCGCGGCCGCACACGCACATGAACACGTGACGGCTGAGCCGGGGGCAGCAACACCCCAGGGTCACATGAGGGCACGGACAGGGGCTCTTGCCCACAGGCCTGACATCTGTGCCCACCTGCCCCCAGGGGCCTCCCTCCACTGGGCCTGGAGTTCCTCTGAGCTCCCCCAGCCCCGTCGTCCCCACGGGGCCACACAGCGGGCCTCCTGCTTTGTGAGTGAAGTGGGGTTGAGGCCCTCCATCTGGGGTAAACCTGTGGGAGCAGCAATCCCCTTCTTGGCCATAGCCCCCCACCTTGCATGTACCCTGTGTGCCCTGGCAGAGGTCCCCAGACCGGTTTAGCCCATTTGTCACAGAGTGGAGTCCAGAAGTGGGGGATGGCTGTGACCCTCAAGCCTCCCTCATTTCTCTGGGGGTGAGGCTCCTTCCCCAGCCTCTCCTTCCTGTCCAGTTCCAAGCCCACCTACTGGCCTGCCCCAGGACAAACCCCAATGTGTATCCTCACCACAGGGACCACTCCTGGGGCAGCATGGCCATGAGTTTCTGTCCAGGCTGGAAATGCCCATTCAGAAGACATGGTGTTTCCCAAGGGGGAGCCTAGGCCACATGCAAACGGGGGCTGAGTTCCAGGAGGCCAGCGTCCACTTCGAGGACCGAGAATCCCCAGTGGGATTTTTGGCAGGGAAGAAGAAGGGACACATGGCTCCGTTCTGGTCAGTTCTACCATCAGTGGGTACTCTACCAGAGTTGGGCCAGGCAGCTGCCCCCTCCAACCTTGCAGACAAGGAAACAAGGACCAGAGAAGCAGCTAACATCCCTCTGCCAACCGTGTGTGGAGTCAACCCTGGCCGGCCCTGGCTGGAGCCTTGTCCGCCACCCACCAGACACAGAGCCCTGAGGGGGGCCAGGTGAAGGCCATGCTCAGTCCATATGCTCAGCGGATGCCCCTGCCCTGCTCTCCCCCAGTAGGGCTGCTCAGGGCCGGTGGGGCTCTGGGTGCGAGGGAACGAGGGCTTTCAGCCCCGGGAATGGTCACACTGTGGGCTACGGGGGTCTAAATCTCAGCCCAGGCAAGCTCGCTTCCAGTGGAAAACAGAGCCCCCCATTCACAGAGCAAGGCCACCATGCTTATGTCCCCAGGTGACTCCCTGTGAGGCCAGCAGGGTTGATCTGTCACATGGACAGCAAGTCCCAGGAGAAACGAAAAGCGTCCACAAGACAAGACAAACCACAAACGGTTTTATTTAAAAAGACGACACAAGCGGGAAAAACACCTGCCAGCCTTGGGAGATACCGAAGCGGTGAAGGGTGTGAGCATGGCGTTCCTGAGAGCAACGCGCCCTGGCCGGCAGCCGGAGGGCGGCAGGTCCCTAGCCCCGAGCTTCCAGGCAGCTGACACAGCCCGGCCGCCCAGGCCAACACAGAAGGCAGGCACGCGCGCTCCTTGGCAGGAGCTGAGACCCGACTTCCAAGGAAGGCAATTTGGCAGCTGCTTTCCAAATTTAAAACGCACATCCTTTCTGATGCGGTGTCTCTACTTCCAAGAATTCGCCCGTAATAGTTGTGTGTGCAATATCACGTGGACAAGGACGCTGTCTGCAGGCTGCGTGTGGGAGCGGAAGGCGAGGGCTGACGTGGTGGCGTGAGGCTCCTGTCCCCACTAGGGCACAGGGCAGTGGGAGGGCAGTGGGGGGGGGCGGTCAGCGAGCCCCACGCATGTTGAGTGCAGCTCCGTGCCAACAAGCTACTTCCGGAGGGCGGGGGAAGAACCCAGTAGCACAGGTCAGCTCAGGGGAGAGGAACTGGGGGTGGGGGACAACAGGCCAGGAAGGAGCCTTGCTTCCCCAAGCATGTCTGTTTGCACTTCTTGGACTCTGAGGCCCCGGTCCAGGGGTGGAGCATGGCTGGCAGGGCACCCAACATTCGGCCGCCTTCACCGCACACTTGAGAACGTCCTAATAAAGTATCTGCGAGCCTGCAGTGACTCTTCTGTTGGCGAGCAGTCCGGAGCATGGGCCGTCCGCAGGCCGAGCCCGAGACAGAGCCGGGAAGGCAGCAGTGAGCGCCCCCCGAGCTCCCCCAGCTGACCGGGGAGGCTGGTGTCCAGGTCAGGTGAGCGGGGGCCAGAGCCCTCGGTCACTCGCTGCCACTGTCCCCTCCATTGGGTACTGTCCCTGGGGGACTTGCCCACCTACCAAGCCAACCCCTAAGAAGGGCGTCTCCTCTTCCCCCCAACGTGGCCCCCAGGATGAAGAGCCAGGAGACCGACCTCAGGCCACTGTCCCAGACAAGCTTCCAACCTCCAAGCCCGCTCTTCTGGGAGACAGGCAGCAGCCCTGTCACCTCACAGGACAACAGTGAGGTTCCCTCACAGCGAAAGCTGGGGTCTGCACGGGTCAGGGGTCGCCCAAGCACCAGGGCCGCACTCCGTGCACTGGCCGTGCTCCGCTCCTCACTCACCCCAGGCCCAGAGCTCTCTGAGAGCAAGCCGATCCCCACCAGCAGTCATGGAGCAGGGCGCAGCCTTCTCTGCAGCTCCCCGCTAGCCCCTGACCTCACCCAACCAGCCCCGCAGTGCGCTGCTCACATGGTTTCCACCCACTGAGCACTCGCAGAGACGGCCCACTCTAGGTAGGACCCGGTGGTTCTCGCTGGGGCCATCCTGCCCCCCAGGGGACATGGGGCGGTGTCTGGGGACTTGTGTGGTTGTCACGACTGGGGTGCTCCTGGCACTGAGGGGTGGGGGCCGGGGCTGCTGCTCAGCCACCCCCCCCCCAGTGGTCCGGCCAGAATGTTCACAGTGCTGAGGGACAGAGACACTCTGGGCCAGGCCAGGAAGGCTAGCTGATGAGGGAGACGACAAAACACGTGGTCTGGGCCTGGTGTGAGCAAGGACCGAGGACACAGCACACGGCGCCTCCAAACGTCTCCCAGCCTCCTGGAGTGGGGGCGGCTGCGGGGGGGGGCACAGCAAGGGCGGCGGCATGGAGAGGCAACAGTCTCCCCTCCAGGCCTGGGGGCAGCACAGCGCACCCACATCTCCTCCCAAGTTCATGCCGGGCCCCGGGGCCCCCAAGACGGAGCACTCTGCTTCCAGAAGCGCTCACCAAATTTCAAGTCCTCCAAGGTCCTGCTCATCTCGAAAAACCGGTCCCTCCTGGCTTAGATGTTGTAAGGCTCTTCAGCAAAAGCCAAAGGAATGAAACAGCCCCCACAACAGGGCTTTCGTGACTCGGTGTTCTGAGGGTGACGCCGGTCTGGATGTGGCTACCTATGAAATTATCTACACCAGAGGCTCTCCCCGTTGTGACGACCACAGATGTCCTTGACACCACCCAGCGTCCCCCAGCAAAACTGTCCTGGGTGAGGGTAACTCCGGCTTCTGTGGGGGAAGCCGTATCTGCCAACAGGTAGAGGTCAGGTGGCACTTGCTACCACCCACCTGCCCCATCCCGTGTGGGCCCAGGGTCCCAGGTGAGCAGGATACTGCTCCTGGCCCCGTGGGACAATGACAGCAGCGGGCCAGTGTAGCTCCAGGTCCTGTACTTAATTCTGCCCCCAGGTGCAATGCTCCCTCCCCTTCACAAAGGAGGAACCTGCTGGGATCCTCCCCAGGAAATGTAGCCCCAGCACCCACGCTCACCCTCCTGCCCATGGCTGCTCACATCACGACGCTCCCCCAGGTGGGAGGGTCCCCAGGCCCAGCACCGGAGCGAAGGCCTGCTCTGGAGTGGGGCGTCACATCACACGTGAATATCCGCTGGTTGGTTCTTGCGGGAACCATCCACCGATTAGGAATATGCTGGTAAATGGCTGGGGGCTCCCTGGGAACTGGCACCAAGGGGCACAGCCCTTCGCGAGGCCCCTGAAATCTCCAGAGACGCATGCACCCGTGGGAGAGATCCATAGGCGGAGGCTGCAGGAGACCCCGGGGTAGCTCCTGGCGCTCTCAGACTACCTGACTAGCAGCCCTTTCCTCCTGCGGAAGATGAGAGCGTCCTGCCGGGCGCCCAGGGGCTGGTTGTATTTTTCTCAGCCTTTCTCTAAAAGGCTGGGAAAGTACCACATGAGGAAGACCCAACTAGAAAAAGGGGGAGTTGTCCAATGTTCCGCTCACATGCAAGCCTCTGGCTTTGCTGCTTCTGCCTCAGCTCAGGCAGGCTTGGAACCAGCCCTCACAGCTCCTTCCCCCACCACCGGTCAACCCAAACACCACGCCGTCCTAGAAAGGTCTATCAGAGAACGAGTGGGGGGGCTCGCTCCAGAGAAGGACACACCTGGCTTTGAGTCCCAGCCTCCATTCCTACTGGCCCAGTAGCTCTGGGCAAGCAACTTCTCTCCGACCTGGGTTAACGGGAGAACACCACCTACGGTGCTACGAAAGTGGGCGGGACTTCTGTGAAGCAGCTAGTGGAGGGCCTGACCCAGAGGAGATGCTAGGAAGGGGTGGCTGATCCCCCCGCTCGGGGACAGGTGCACAACAGCCTCCAGATGGGCCTGCTTCCTGCTCCTCCATCCGCAGCATGTGTGGGCTATGTGGCAGGGGAGGTGCCCTGGCGGCCACAGCGGTAGGCTGGGGGCCAGGTGGAGCCCCTTCTCCTCCCTCACCACAGCGCCCCCCCACCCCACCCCCCACCCCAGAGGAGGGAAGACTGCAGTCAGTAAAAGACGTGAGGCTGGTGGTGGGAGGCCTGGCCGTGGTCTCCAGACATCGACTAGAACTTAGGCTCCTGGGCTCCGAAAGGGACTTCTGAACAGGGAGACCCCACCCAGCAGAGGGAACCCGATGAGCTAGTGGTCCATCGCCTCTCACTACAGCAAAAGACAAGGCCCAAAAGAGCTGGAATCAAAAAGGACCGCGCCTGACACAGGACAGCGAGACAACGTGCCTCCCCTCCGGGGCTGATGTGCATCAGCCTGAGGGTCAAGTTAGTTCTGGGGAGGCCTGGAGGTCGGGGCCCCCGAGGAGCACGTTCCAGCATGCGTGCAGTCACTCAGCTGAGGCTGACTCCCCACTCGCTCTGTGCAGACAGGCCCTGGGGCTCACCAAGGAGTCCTGCCCCTGCCCCAGGCTGGCAGTCTAGAGGACGTGGCTTTCTGGACCAAAGGCTCTCCCTTTCCAGCCTGTGACAACGGCCCGAGAGACACTGCGGCTCCCCAGGCAGGCACTGCTGCACGAAGCCCCAGAAATGTGCCCAAGGTGAGGCCGCTCGCCCCCCACCCCTTGGTGCTGCAAGACGCCCGTTCTCCGTGTGACGGGGTGAGACATCCAGCCCACGAGGCCGTCAGGGTCCGCAGCAGCCCAGAGCACGCAAACCCCTACGCAAAGGAAGGATGACCTGGCAACAGCACCCAAACGATTTATGCTCACGTTCGTGTTTGCAGCTGTGGTTTATGTCAGAGAGCCAGATCTCAAGGCTGGACGGGCCTTAAAGGGGTTCGGAGTGAGCCCCCGCACAATGGCATCTGCTTGCACACCTGCAGGGACGAGGAGCTCACCCTCTCACAGGCAGCCTTGAGCATCAGAAAGTGCTTCCTCAATATGTCTCGCCACGGATCCCACTTCTGGGTCCCAGGTAGGGGCAGAAGGAAAACCCTAAAACCTAGTACGTTTAGGGCAAGGACCCCCAACCCCATCTGCTGGCACTGGTGACACCGGGGCCACGTCCTTCTCTGTGGGGGGCCGTCACGGGCATGGCAGGGGGTGGAACAGCACTCCTGGCCCCCACCCACTCGATGCCAGAACACCCCCCCGGGACAACCATAAATATCCCCAGACATTGCCCCCAGTGGAGAACCCCTGGTTTACAGGAATCCTCAGGGGGAAGAGTGGCTTCCCTCAGGCTCAAGAGACCAGCGCTGACCTTTCTCTTACTGTTCAGCCTTCCGTAAGTGCAGACAGACAAGCTCTGCGCAGCAGTCTGCCCCTGCCCTTGCTCCCTCATCCTCCCCCGATGCCACCTCCAACCCAGCCCGCCTCTGCTTACTCCTTATTGTAGGGCACTGCGCAAATACAGCCCGATGCATCCCGCACAAGCCGGTGGTTCCTTCCTCTGGACAGAGCTTGTGCAAAAAGGCACAGGGATCTGGAAGGAGCGGTTGCTGCCCTAGAGAACTGCACAGAGGTTCGGGGAGGCTGGGTGAGGCCGTGCCGGGGGCAGGAAGAGGGAAAAGTAAGGCCAGCCAGAAGAGCAGTCTCCCGGGTGGCGTCCCCGGGCTAGTGGCAGGGGGGTGGGGCAGCACGGGGAGCGGGGAGCGGCGGGAGCTGTGCCTCTGTGCACTGAAGGCAGCCTCACGCGCAGACCGGGCAGAGCACTGGGGAGCGGGGCGAGCAGGACCATGCCTGCCGGTCCAGGTGAGGAAGCGGGCGGTCCCGAGAGGCCGGGCGCGGGAAAGGTTCAAGGAAAGAGTGACCTCTTCTGGGCTAACTCAACCCAGGTGCCTGGAGGACGCCCAGATGCTGACTGGCACTGGCCACGTGGGCCTGGAGTTCTGGAGCCAGCCTCGGGCAGCCGCAGCAAACGAGGACAGGAAGTGAAGTGTGCCCGCCAAGAAAGTGTGCCGAGGGCAGAGAAGCATCGGAGTTCAGATCAAAAACAAGGGTCACCACACAGGAACCTGCACTCAACGGTTCGCAGCGGCTCTCGTCCCAACAGGCAAAAGGTGGACACAGTCCAAGCGTCCACCCACCACGCAGCACATCACTCGGCCTCGGATGGGCCAGGCGCCCACACGCGCGGCCCCGGGGACGGACCCCAAGCCCTCGACGCTCAGGGAGGGAACCGGACACGGAAGGCCACACGGGGTGTGAGTCCACGTGGGTGACACGTCCAGAACAGGCTCATCCTGACAGAAAATGGGGCAGTGGTTGCCGGGGCTGGGGAGGGCAGAGGACTGATAGGTAAAGGGAAGGAGGTTTGTTCGGATGAGAATGTTCTGGCATTAATGGGATAGATGCAAAAGCTGGAAACCACTGAACTGTGTACTTTAAATCACTAAATCACATGGCATGGGAATTCTTTCTGAATAGATCTGTTAACAACAAAAATTCAGCAAATAATGAAAAGGAGAGCCAGTGGAGGAGGCTGCTCACTGACGGGAAGGTGTAGGAAGCCAGGAAGAGAGTGGAGTCCACAGTCCACTTTCGGGGGTCGAGGACTAAGCCACTCGAGGCTGCAGGGCCGAGTCATGTGCTCCTGTCCCAATCTCAAGTGAGGGAGCCACAGTAGGAGAAAGCAGTCACTTGCCAAGGACACAAGGATGCATGGCGGTTGGAGGCACGGATGTCCCCCGTCTGGAACGTCAATGCCACACGAGAAGGAGCCCTGACTGTGTGCGAGCCGCAGGATGCGCCCGGCTCCAACCACCCACCGCCTGCAGCCACTCCGCATGCACCAAATCTTGGGCAGGTGGAGTGAGAGCTGGCCAGGGCAGTGACGAGTGGACCTGACAAGGGGGAGGCTGCTGGGGCCTGTGATGGATCAGAAACTGGACGGCGGGAAGCTGCTAGGCAGAAGAGGGGCGGCCTACTATTCCCTCCCTCGCTCTGAAGGCCATCAGCTCCCTGTGCCAACTCCCGGAATGGGCCAAACATACCCTACCCTCTGGCTGTCCCCGCCCTTTAGCACCCACTCAAGCCAGGGTTCTTGAGCTCCAGTCTTATGGGGCGCAGAGTCCCTGCCCTCACAGGGCTCTTGGACTGAACTCCGGTCCCCAGATCTTCCCCCTCGGCACTGCTGATATTCGGGGCCATCCTGAGCACTGGGCAGAGGGGTGGGGCAGCAGCATCCCTGACCCCACCCATTCGATGCCAGGAGCACCCCCGGTCGTGATCACCACAGACACCCCCAGACAGCACCAATGTCTTCAGTGGAGAACCTCTGCTCTAGAACAGAATTACAACGGCAGTGCCATTTCGCTGGTTCCTAAAGACCAAGTCCCTTGATCCTGACACCTGACATGAGTCTCCAGGATCGGCCCTCCAAACAGAACCATTTGGGATCCTCACCCTGCTGCTCAGTGTTACCAAGCAAAAAGTCCCCATGACCAACCCCACTCTGGTCCCCAAATCCGCCAGGCCAGGGGCCCCAACAAACAGCACCGGGAGATTTCCTGCTGAAAGAGAGGGCCTCGTGTGAGAATGGAGGCAGACTGGCTTCTGAAGACTCATCGCCTCCCCATCTGCCTCCAGGCACTTCTCCCCTAGCCCCAAACAGCCACTGCCACCGGCTGGGCCACAGGGTCTGAGATTTCCCGGGGGCCCAAATGGCCAGCACAGCTAGCTCCCTGGACACTGTCCACCACCCAGCAAAGCAACTGTCCTTTGAGCCAAGGGCTGTCCAAGGGCCAGAAGCCTGATTTTCAGAGGGGGAGAGCCCATAATCCCCAACAAAACCCTCCTGGAGCAATGGAACCCTGTTCACTCGGAAAGTGGCCTGTAACAACCAGCACACCTGCGTGCACTCTGGGGCTCAGAAGGCACGCCAGTCTAGCAGTTTCTGTTGAAACAGAAGGGCCCACGACCTCAAAGGCCAAGACGGCCCATGAGAAGTTCTGCACGAACAACAGCCTAGGATGCGTTCTAGGGGACAATGCACCATTCTGGGGACCGTCCCCAGGAGATCTCATCAGCCTCTAGCGTGCAAATCCCCTCCCCCCTGCAGGAGAGACCACCCAACCTCCTTCATTTCAAAGACCTTCTCACCTACCCCGAACCTGGGGTAAGGGGAACAGCTGTGTATGTTGAGATGGATTGTTTTTCTTTTGGTAAATCCTCCCCGTCTAAAGTATAGTAAGAAGTTGGCGGGGCGGGGCGGGGCGGGGCGGGGCGGGGCGGGACGGAGGGTGTGGTGTGGCCTCACCAGAGGGAGGCATGAGGTCATCCCTCTGAACTGGAGTGGGGTGGGGGTGGGGGGCTAGCTCCCAGCACGACAGGCACCTGAGCGAGGGGCGGATTTCCAGGGGAAAACGAAACAGGTCTAGGCTAGACAGCTGCACAGCGGAGGGTCTCCGGCTTTGGGTGGGGGGCAGGTCTAGACAGTGCAGGACCAACGGGTGGGGGTCTGCAGTTTTTAGTGCGGGAACATGGCTGTGATGGGAGGAAGCACTCCACACCTGGGGGCTCCGGCCGTCGGGCGGGTGCTTACAGGAAAAGGCAGGAGGTTCCGGGCCGGGAGGGTAGCCGGGCAGAGACAGGTCGTCTCAGATTTTGGTGGGGTCAGGGCCCACATGGAGCGCTTGACACGGGCTGGATGGCAGCTGGATGGGGTCAAGCTGGGGGGCTGGGGGCGCAGAAGGCAGTGGGGTTGGGAGCGAGGGGGTCACTGATGCACTCAAACGGCGATGCCTAAGTGCTCCTGGGTGCCAGGAACCCAGAGGGGCGCCCACACACACAAGGTCTCCACGCCTCCGTCTACCTGTTCCAGGGCCACGAAGCGGGGGAAGGGGGCCTGCTTCGAGCCCGGCTGTGTCGTGACAGCCACGGGGGGCAGTCTCGATCCGGGCAGGGCCTGGGCTGGGACGGTCCGATTTGGAAGGGGCGGGCTCGAGAGGCCAGAGGTGCGGAGCCGTTCTGGGGGACAGCTCCGCCCCGTTTACAAGCGGACCTCGGACGCGAGCTGCGGGGGGAGGGCTGGGCTGCAGGTGGCTCGGGCTGGGGCGCTCATGCAGGGCCGGGTTTGGGGGTGAAGGCGGGGGTGACATGCGGAGGTCACCCCGGGCCCAGCTCGGCACGGGGGGCGGCGTCCAGGGGGGCTGGCCGGCTCCCGGAGGACCCGAGCGTGGGGGCCGCCGGCTCGGTGTCGGGGCGGAGGGGGGAGGCCCGCGCCGCCGTCGGGCCCTGCCCGGCTCGGGGGGAGGGGGTCGCGGCTCGGGCCCGGGGGGCGGGTCCCCACTCCCCGGCCGCCTCACCTGGCTCGCTCCGGTCGCCCGCTGGCTCCGCCGACCCCGCCTCTCGCGGCGCCGCGCCGCGCCGGCCACCGCCGCCCGCAGCTCCACCGGTCCTGCCGCGGCCGCCGCCGACGGGACCCCGGGCTCCGCGCTCCTTAATATGGCGGCGGTCGCTGTTCCGCGGCCTCCCGGAGCCCTCCTCCGCCGCGCGCGCTCCCGCGGCCGGCCACGCCCCCGCGCCGGCGCGCTGCGTGCGGCCGCCACGCCCCGCCACGCCCCCTCGCGCCCGGGCCTCGCGCCGGGGCCGCGCCCCGGCCCGCCCACCCGGCGCGACTGCGCCTGCGCGCGTCGGGCATCTCGGGAGGACGTGACGTAGCTGGTGATTCGAATCAATACAGGAAGCGCGGCGCCACGCGTTGCCATGGGCGACCGAGGCCGGCGGCCTCTCCCGGGCCCCGAGGAGCCCGGCTGCGTGGGATGTGCGGGAATGGCTCTGCTCAGTTAGGACGCGGTTCTAGTGGAGGACAGTCGCAGAGCCGGGCACTCAAGGGCAGGCAGACCCACGCCCCATGAGGGCAGGCGCACTGCGTGGTAGGCGCAGATGGGTCGACAGCAGGTGCCTGTCTGGGCCGGGCCGACCCCACTGCGTGCGGCAGCCACTTCGTTCGGTCGACCAGCGTTTACTGCGCTCCTACCCAGTGCTCGTCCAGGGCCTGGAACCAGCACACCTGCGTGCACTCTGGGGCTCAGAAGGCAGCCAGTCTAGCAGTTTGTTGGAAGCAGGGCCCAAATCCTAATCATCTCTGCCCACCCCCCACCCCCTAAATGGGCAGGGGATCCAGACATTTTCCAAAAGAAAAGAGACGACCGGCCGAGAAGCTCACCACCATTACGCATCAGGGAGGCGCAAGTCACAACCAGGGAGCTCGCACTTCACTCCTGCCAGGGCGGCTACGAGAAAAGAACAGAGGAGGAAACGGAGCCGGGAACGTGTTGGTGAAGATGCGGAGCAACTGAGCCCCCTGCGTTGCTAGTGGGATGGAAAATGGGGCCGGCACCGTGGAGGACGGTCCGGCAGCTCCTCGGAGAGTGGCCCGCCGGATTACCGGAGGACCTGGCGATTCCTCTCCTGCTATCCAGCCACCCAAGAGAACTGAAGTCGTGTCCTCATAAACATTTTCACACGGATGTTCAGAGAGTTATTCCCAACAACCAAAAAGTACAAACAACCCGGGTGTCTATAGCGGATGGTTGGGTGGACACAAGGCGGCGTATCCGTGTCGTGCCGTGTCGCGTGGCGGTAAAAAGGAGTGATGCGCTGAACGCCCTGCCGCGTGGATGAACCTGGCAAACACGATGCCCCGTGACAGAGGCCGGACACAAAAGGCCATTGTGTCGTCCTGTATTAACCCGCTTATATGCAATGTCCACAGTGTCCGGGCAAATCTGTAAAGACAGTAAGTTGGTGGTTGCCGGGAGCTTGGGGGTGAGGGACGACGAAAAGGCATAGGGAGTGACTGCTAGGAACTTTCTTGCTGGGGTGGTGGAGTGTTCTAAAATTGATGTGATGATGGTTGGTTGCATAGCTCTGAACACACTAAAACCCAGTGAATTATACACGTTGAGTGGATTTTAGAGTATGTGAATTGTATCTCAGTAAAAACGGTCATAAAAAAAAAATTCCAGTCTGCCTGGAGCTGAAGCATGGAGATTATTATTATTATTTTTAAAGATTTTATTTATTTATTTGAGAGAGAGAATGAGATAGAGAGCATGAGAAGGGGGAGGGTCAGAAGGAGAAGCAGACTCCCTGCTGAGCAGGGAGCCCGATGCGGGACTCGATCCCGGGACTCCAGGATCATGACCTGAGCCAAAGGCAGTCGCCTAACCAACTGAGCCACCCAGGCGCCCTGGAGATTATTTTTTATGCCTCGTCCCCACATGGCCTTCCCCTCTTTCTCTATGTCTGGGAATGGACCCTTATTTGGAAATAGGGTCTCTGCAGTCAGCAAGTTAGGACGAGGTTATACCAGAGTGGGGGTGGGCCCAGCATCCAGTGGGCGGTGTGCTTATAAGAGGGGAATCTGGACACAAGCCAAGGAAGGCGGAGGATTGCCATAAATCTCATAAATTAATCTCCATGCTTCAGCCATAATTTAATCTCATAAATTTAAAAAAAAGAAACAAAGGTGGCCAGTGTAGCTACAGAACGGATTTTTTTAATTTTTATTATTTTTAAAGATTTTATTTATTTATTTGACAGAGAGACAGCGAGAGAAGGAACACAAGCAGGGGAGTGGGAGAGGGAGAAGCAGGCTCCCTGCAGAGCAGGGAGCCGGATGTGGGCTTGATTCCAGGACCCCGGGACCATGACCTGAGCCGAAGGCAGACGCTTAACGACTGATCCACCCAGGCGCCCCTCACTGGCCACCTTTGAAATGCTCCATGGCCCCCAGCCCCCTCTGGCTAGTAGCTGTCATACTCAGTGATGCAGACATAGAGTATGTCTATCGTAGAAAATTCTACTGAACAAAGAAGGTGCAGAGCAGTGCTTGGCACAGAATAAATCAATAAATGTCAAATGAAGTGGGGCACCTGGCTGGCTCAGTCGGTAGAGCATGTGACCCTTGATCTTGGGGTCTGACAGGGCTGGGATTTGGCTGAGGCCAGGGAGGGGGCTTGTGTGAGGTCAAAGTTGGATCCTGTCTTTACTTAAGTTTGGATTTTTTTTTTTGCATTAATTTTGATTTTTAAAAATATTTCATTAATGAGGGAGGAATGTAGGGGCTTATGAAAGGATAGCACGGGAGATCCCTGAGTGTGGTTTCCCACTGCTGTTGCAACGGGTCACGCCAAACTTATTAGCTCAGCACAACGGAACTGTTATTTCACCATTCTGGAGGTCAGAAATCTGAAATGAGTCTTCCGGAGTAAAACCCAGGTGTGGGCGGGGTGGTCCCTCCCGGGGCCCCAGGGAGACCCGATCCTGCCTCTTCCAGCTTCCAGAGGCCCCACATCCCTGGCCCGCGGCTCCCTCTCCATCCTCACCGCCAGCAGCACAGGATCTATCTCTGGGACTCCCACCCTCTGCCTCCCTCTTGTGAGGACGCCGGGCCCCCTGGGGAACCCAGGGTCACTCCCACATCAGGATTCGAAACTTACTCCCATCTGCAAAGTTCCTTTTATAGCACACAGATTAGGGAGCGGGTATCTTTGGGGGCGGGTCATTATTCAGCCCTGCCACACTCGTGATGTGGGCACTGTTCTGTATTATGATTGTGCTGATGGACACACAAACTTACACAGTGATAAAATGGTACAGAACTTAATACACAAAAATGCATACCCAAGTCCAAGTAACACTGGAGAAATCTGAACAAGATGGGTGTATCACATCAGCGCCAACATTCTGGTCATGATATTATGCTAGGGGTTTGCGTGTGTTTTGCACCCAGCTACTGCTGGGAAACTGGGTGAAGGTTGCACTGGGCCTTCTGGATTATTTCTTACATCTGCAATGCAGCTCTACAATGATCTCAACATACATGTCGATTTTTTTTTAAGATTTTATTTATTTTTTTGACAGAGACACAGAGAGAGAGAGAACACAATCGGGGAGAGGGAGAGGGAGAAGCAGGCCTCCCGCGGAGCAGGGAGCCCGATGCGGGGCTCGATCCCAGGACCCTGGGATCATGACCTGAGCTGAAGGCAGACACTTAATGATTGAGCCACCCAGACGCCCCCATGTCGATTTTTCAAAAGAAAAAAATGCATGAAAATATTACTGACTTATGTGCTGAGGTTTTTGGCATCCCCTTCAATTTGGGGCTCATGTGCCACACTGCTTGACAGACACTTTCCTCTCTCTGGTTCCACTTTATTTTTTAAAAAATATTTTATTTTTATTTATTTTAGACAGTGCATGCACAAGCAAGGGGAGGGGCAGAGGGAGAAGCAGGCTCCCCACTAAGCAGGGAGCCCGATGAGGGACTCGATTCCAGGACCCCAGGATCATGACCTGAGCCAAAGGCAGACACTTAACCAATTGAGCCACCAAGGCGCTCCCAATTTTTTTTTTTTAAAGCAGAGGTTCCTATTTTTGACAAACTACAAGTACAGAGGGGTGACAGAGCCTGGCAAACATTCTGTAAGTCGCTCCTGAGGTCTGCCCTGGGCAGTGAGAAGAGGCAGAGCAGGAGCCCAGATGAATTCTCTCTCACTCAGCCTGGCTTGGGGCAGGGGCTGGGCCGACCCCCAACTGACATCAGAAGTATAACAAAGGGGTATGGGTTTCATTGCATCCCCCCAAAAGGCATCCCCCAGTACCTGGGAATGGACCCTTATTTGGAAATAGGGTCTCTGCAGTCAGCAAGTTAGGACGAGGTTATACCAGAGTGGGGGTGGGCCCAGCATCCAGTGGGCGGTGTGCTTATAAGAGGGGAATCTGGACACAGACATAGAGAAAGAGGGGAAGGCCATGTGGGGACGAGGCAGACACTGGAGAGATGTGTCCACAAGCCAAGGAAGGCGGAGGATTGCCGGCAACACCGGAAGCTGGAGAAGACAGGGAGGATCCTTCTCCAGAGGGCTTAGAGGGAGCAGGGCGCTGCTGACACTGAGCTTGGACTTGCTCAGGTGTAAAGGAGCCGCAGAACGGAAGGCGTGGGATGTCTGCGTTTAGCACAGATGTCTGTCCTGCTATCAGTCTGTAGCAGGTCTGTAGGTTCAAGATTCCAAGTTGCCTGACGTATACAGGTCTTGCTTTGGGTGTGGCTTCCCATTATCTGCTTCCTGCATCCTTGGGTCTATCTCTTTACCCCCAGCACATCCTGGGGGCCAATCACACCTGGCACTCTGCCTGGGAGCCTTCCAGAGTCAACACAGCGCCTGGCCCCTGGGGAGGCCCTGCGTGAGTATTAGCCTGAGCCACAAAACACGGTCGAGATGGTGTCCTTGCTGGCCAGCCAAGTCACCCGGAGTCAGCTCTCAAACACATAGGAAGACAATAAAAAAATAGTATCAGGGGGCGCCTGGCTGGCTCAGTCGGTAGAGCAGGTGACTCTTGAGCTCGGTATTATGAGTTCAAGCCCCATGTTGGGTGTGGAGATCACTTAAAAAAAAAAAAAATCAGGACGTCAGCTCCAGGAGACCAGAGACTATCTCGTTCTGTGCCCTCTGTGCCTGGGACCGCCCGCCACACAGGTGTGCAATAAATATTTGTGACATGAACACCTGAATGTTTAAACCAATAGTTGGTCTGTTAAAAGTGACTTCTTTGTTATGCATGGCATTTTTATGTTTTTAATTGCCCACATTTTTTTTTTAATTTATCTTCTTGAGAGAAAGCGCGTGCGCACATGAAGGGCGGGGAGGGGCAGATGGAGAGGGAGCAGCAGACTCTTGGCGGAACAGGGAGCCAGACACTGGGCTCGATTCCTGGATCCCGGAGACCATGACCTGAGCCAAAGGCAGACACTTGACTTGAGCCACCCAGGCACCCTGCGGACATCTCTTTTTTTTTTTTTTTTAAAGATTTTATCTATTTGACAGAGAGACACAGTGAGAGAGGGAACACAAGCAAGGGGAGTGGGAGAGAGAGAAGCAGGCTTCCCGCCGAGCAGGGAGCCCGATGCGGGGCTCGATCCCAGGACCCTGGGACCATGACCTGAGCCGAAGGCAGACGCTTAACGACTGAGCCACCCAGGCGCCCCATACATCTCTTAAATGAGAGATGGTACGTCAAATCAATTGCTCTGTCCTCCCTTAAAATCAGGAACATCCGGCCACGCAGGTGCACCTGCCTCAGTGCCTTATGCTTTTTTTTTTTTTTAATATTTTATTTATTTATTTGACAGAGAAAGACAGCGAGAGAGGGAACACAAACAGGGGGAGTGGGAAAGGGAGAAGCAGGTTTCCCGCCGAGCAGGGAGCCCAATGCGGGGCTCGATCCCAGGACCCTGAGATCATGACCGGAGCCGGAGGCAGGCGCTTAACCAACCGAGCCACCCAGGCGCCCCAGTGCCTTATACTTTCTGCCTGGCCCAGGAAGCAAGAGAAAGCCAAGAGCAGAACAGAGTGGCCAGGCGAATTCTATCCCCAGGTAAAGCAGCCGCCTTGGGCAGGCTGTTTGCTCCCTCTGAAGGGGTCACCGTCACCGTCCCGAACAAATGTCAAAGTAAATACCATGGTGAAACATTCCAAGTAGCACATGGAAGTATAAGATTGAAAGTACTTTGGGTAAATGCTTGGATATTTTTTTTAAAAGTCACCCATGTGTAATTTACATACATAACTCCATTTATGCAAATGAGATTGCACGAGTCGGCTTCGCCTGCTTCGAGTTTTGGAGGTCAATCTTGGACTGCTTTCCTGTAACACAGGAAGGTCTTCCCATCCCTCTGAGGGTCTGGCTGTTAGTGTATAAATGCACCACTGTTTGAGCAGTGCCCCCGCGGACGGGCATTCCTCAAATATTTACCTGGCATGTCTCGGTGCTAGGGATCCACTTAGTGATGTGCAGGAGCCCGTGGGTGCTGACTACAGAAGTCATGGTCAGCAAATGCACGAGTGGACCATGGTGGGAAGATTTATTTACTTATTTTAAGATTTTATTTATTTGACAGAGCATGAGTGGTGGGGAGCAGCAGACTCCCCGCTGAACAGGGAGCCCGATGCGGGGCTCAATCCCAGGACCCTGAGATCATGACCTGAGCCGAAGGCAGACGCTCAACGACTGAGCCACCCAGGGGCCCCATTGTGGCAAGATTTAAACTATGGGAACTGGCAAACGCTACAGACTAGGGCTTTGTTTTTATTTTCCAGATTGCTCCTTTAGCGCCACACCGCTGTCATGTCATGGACAACAAAGCAGACAAAACGCTGCTCACATGGTGCTTATTCTAGTGGAGAAAACAGTGTGCAGGAAACTACAGATGCTATGGAGAAAAAGAAAGCAGGGAACAGGATAAAGGAACATTAGGAGGTCATGATGTCAGTGCAAGTGCTCCGGGAAGCCTCAGTGAGGGGGTGATGTTTGAACAAAAGAGCAAATGTTTCATTGCGGGAGTAAACATATGGGGAAGGAAAAAGGTTCCAAGTAAGCAGCACATGCGAAAGTCCTGGGGCAGGATTGGGCCGGGCCTGTTGGAAGAACATTGAGGAGGCCTGATTGGCTGGAGCAGAGTGGGCGACAGAGAGGGGCAGGGCAGGGGCGGGTCGTGCAGGGCCTTGTGGGCCTTGGGGAGGACTTGGGCTTTTCCCCCAGGGAGGGAGGGACCTGGCTCCGGTGCTCACCGGCGCTCTCTGGTGGCTGCTGCCGGGAGAACGGACTGGGGGAAGGAAGGGGGGGCGGGGGGCGGGGCAGAGGGGATTGGGCGGGTCCAGGCAGGAGATGGTGGTGGCTGCGGGCAAACAAGAGATCTGGGATAGATTTTAAACGGATTCAACCCCGATGTTTTTAGGCTGAGCCCTTGGAACGATAGTTCCCACTTCCTGCGGGAGGAGCAGCTTTGGGAGGTAACATGAGAAATCCTAAGGACACACTATGTTTGGGATGCCTCACCAATATCTAAGTGGAGACGTAGCGGGGCAGCCGGACCCCGAGTCCGGAAATCAGGGGAGGCCCAAGCTGGAGACAGGACTGTGGGCATCGTCCTGCCATAGACCGGGGTGGGGGTGGGGAGAGTGGACGAGGCTGCCCGGGAGGGGAGCGACTGGGGAGGGAAGAGGCTGGAGGACCCAGCCTAGGCACCAGGGGAGGGGTGAGAGGTGGGAGGGGAGGCTGGTCCCATAAGAAGTTCCCAGGAGGAGGAGGGGGCTGGGCCAGTGAGACACTGCCCGAGGGGGAGGAGGACAGAGACTATGACAGGTCTGGGGACAGGAGGGCGGAGCCTGGCTGGTGCTGGTAGGAGGGAAAGGCGAGCCGTGGTAGGCAGTCGGGGTTTGGCTCTTCCTGGGGCTCTTGCTGGACAGAGAAGCACAAAGTGGGCAGGAGACAGAACCTGGGGATGTTGTGAGGTCAGGAAGGCTTGTTTTTAAGAAATTCCCGCGGTCTCTGCTGCTGGGGACAGGTAAATCTGAGGAGAGCAGGGAGGGTGGCTGGTGGGCCAGTCATGAGGTGCCTGCGACACTGAGGTAAGAGGGAATGTGTGTCCCGGGCCCCAGCCCCTTTTAAAAGTCTGTACCTTCCTGGGGAGCCGGGTGGCTCAGTTGGTTGGGTGACCGACTCTTGGTTTTAGCTCAGATCGTGATCTTGGGGTGGGATCGAGCCCTGTGTCAGGCGCACCTACCACGGAGTCTGATTGGGACACTCTCTCTGCCCCTCCCCCCTGCTCTCTCTCTAAAATAATAAATCTTAACAAAGTAAAATTTAAAAAGCCTGTAACTTCCTGAGAGGCAAGGGCCAGAGGAAGAGGAAGGCCTTCCCACCACACCTGGGCTCGCCAACGAGGCCTGGGACTGCAGGCTCCCAGATGGCTTCAGGATGGGGCTGGGGGCTGAGGAAGGAGGGACTTTCAGCCACACCCTCGGCCCTGGGGGACAATCACCAATGGCCACCTATTGAACCAACCCTGCCTGCACACGGGGCCTCCACAAAATCCCTAACCAAGGGACTCAGAAAGTTCCAGGGCAGGTGAACGCATCCACGTGGCAGAGGGGGTTGTGCCCCAAACTCCACGGGAGGAAGCCCCTGCACCCGGGACCCCTCATCTGATTGCTCGTGACATCCTTTTTAAGAAACAGGCAAGTCAAGTGCTTTCCTGAGCTCTGGGAGCTATGCGAGCAAATCATCAGCAGTGAGGAGGGGACCCAGCGTGAACTCGGCAGTGAGCATCAGAACTGAATCGAATTGTAGGATGCCCATGGAGAGAGAGATGACTTGCTTAGGGTGGAGACCTCGCGTGCCTGGTATCAGAAGGGCCAGGAGGAGAAGGCATCAGTGTGGCAGAACCAGCCCAAGGACCCCCACTCTGGGCATCTATGCCTTCATGTGACTGGGCAGGGATGTTGTTGGCTGGCAGACCGCAGCAGGTGGAATGTGTCCCACGTGAGATTAGGTTCTATGGTTACGCCTATTTTATGGCCGTAAAACAGGGTGTTGAAGGCTGCACATGGAGAATGAGGCGGGTAGCTGGGACGGGAACCCACAGCCTGGGCTCCTAGCCATACCACTAAACCCCAATAGGGGCTGGGTGAGAATGAGGGTATGGGGAAGGCCAGGCTGGGAGTGGGCTGGCCGGAGATGAAACCAGGGCATGGGCCTGGAGCTCTTCAAACACCCCGGCCCCCTCCCTGAGATGTTCCCTGAGAGCAGCCCTGCAGAGCCCCCAACACAGTCTGAGAGTCATGGCTTGGCAAAAATAACTGAGTGCAGGCCTGCGGGCAGGAGGGCAAGGGTGGTCACTGGCCGGGGTCTGCTTGTCCCTCCCCAGCCCCCAAGCCCCTAACAACCTTCCCACCCTGCCTAGTCCCGGGCTAGGGAGTCAGAGGCCCCAGGGGCAGCCCTTGGAAGCCCCAGCCCCTGGCCAGGCCCAAGGGCTTGGGTTTGCCCACAGCGCCTTTCCGGGCTCCCCTGGTTCCTCAAGAGGCGGGGTCAAGGCAACCCCAACTTCCCTGAGCATAGCCCTGGCCTGCACCCAGACCCCCGTTCCCACGCCAACATCCCACCGCCGTGACCAGAGACCCGGGTGCTGCAGCCCTGCGCCAGGCCCCCCATGAGGGACACAGCACACCTCAGCCTGGCCCTGGGGGAGTCAGGATGCAAAAGCAGCCAGATCAGGCCAAGCAGACAGCCCAGGGGGATGGGGAAGCCAGACCCGATCCGCACAAGCTCGGTTTATATGCAGCTCATGCCGAGTCCCGCAGGGCAGGCGGGCAGGCAGGCAGACAGGCGGCTCTAGGAGGGGCGCGCGCGTAGCTGCTCCAGCCCATCGGCGTACTGGAAGGCCGACCCGGTCTCATGCTCGTACATGTCCAGGGCCACCTCGCAGCTCTCTCGCACCACGCGCTCGGGGTCGGCTGTGTGGGCCCGCAGGGCGGCCAGGCAGGCGGGCCGGGCGATGGCTCCCAGGGCCTCAGCGCACTCGTGCCGCACCATGGGGTTCTCGGCCTGCTGGGCCAGGGTCGCTGCCAGCTGGGGCACGGCCGCCTCGTGCTGCAGTTGGCCCAGGACGTAGCCAATCTCATGGCGGAAGAGGGCGCTGCCACAGTGCAGGCCTGCGGGCAGGAGGGCAAGGGTGGTCACTGGCCGAGCGGTGCCATCGGGGCAGGCGGGGGACTCGGGGCTGAGCGCCGGAGCGCAAGAAGGAGCAGGTGGAAAGGGGGTTCCCCGTTTCCAGTGGTCAGTGCTGCTCAAAGGGAGGGACCTGCAGCCAGAGGGGCAGGAGAAGCTGGAGCACGGGCTGCTAATAAGCTCCCCGCCAACAAGCACTGGGAACACAGCGCTGCCCTCCGCAAGGCCAGACGGGGCCGGTGTGGCCTTTCTGGGCCCAGGGTCCCCTGCCAGCTGCGCCCACCTCCTCCTTGGGCCTCTGTGTTACGCTATCGCGTGTTTAATGAGGGGACAGTCCTGAGCACCCTCCCCCCACTCCACAGACAGGTCATGCTTTACACTGATGGGGAGACCCCGCCGGGAGGGGCGGGGTGACTGCCCAAGACCAGAGGCCCTTGAGGCCGAGCCAGGGCTCGAGGCCACCTGCCTGACTGCGGCCCCTGCTCCTAAGCACCACCCAGCCCCGCTGTGCTCCTGCCCGGCACCACCTGGGACTCCCACCCCGTGGCCCAGGGTCCAGGCGATGACCAGGCATCTCCCTGCCAGACAGGGAGTTCTGGGAGCGCAGAGAGGGTTCCAAATCCTCTGCGGGCACGCCCCGGGCACGGGGGTGCAGGGCACCACGGACTGCCTGGGGAGAGGCCTGCAGAGCAGCCTGCGGAGCTGGGAGGAGAGTGACTCAAGTCACGATAACAGAAAGGGGCTAAGGGTGCCGGAGCCACGTGCCAGGGACCAGATCCCACCTCCGCGGCTCGCCAACCGCTGTCTGCTCAGGCGACCCTCTGGCTCTCTGGCCTCGGCTTCCCCCCTGGGAACTGGCGGGAAGGGTGCCCGCCCACCTCTTATAAAGCCGGGGAGGAAGTGCCGGGCGCCGGGCCCAGGATGCGCTCCCCGGGTCCCTCTGCTGCTCCCTCTCACAGGCGCAGCTCCCGAGCCTCACCCAGGCGCCCTGACTGGGACTCCCCGCCCCAGCCCCAACTCACCCTCGGCCAGAGCCAACGCAGCCTCTTTGCCGCCGGCATCCCGCAGGGCGAACATGGCTCGGTAGCGGTCAAAGAGTGGCCGGGCTTCGTCCAGCAGGACCCCCCGTAGCCGCCCCACGTCGCGCTCTTCGGCTGGAGGAGCAGGGTCCACAGACAGGTAGGGCCCGGCCACCGCCGGCTCCCCACGGTGCTGCTGCAGCCACTCAAGCCGCTGGGCAGCCAGCTGGCACGTCTCGGCCACCTGCGGGGACAGGGGCGCACGGGTGGCCGCTGAGGACAGGACGGTGGACACGACGGACCCCCTTCCCCACCCTCGGGGGCTCCGGTCATTCTGGACGGAGAGAAAGCGGCAGGGGCTTGTGTGAGGAGGGAGCGACAGGGCGGAGGGCCAGGGCGGCTCCACACGGAGGTGACGTGGGAGCGGAGCAGAGACCTGCAGCAGGTGCAGCAGGGAGCCGGGCACAAGTGGCTGCCGCAGAGGGCGAGGCCAGGCCTGACCGTTCAGCCCCGCGAGCTGAACCCCCCAAGAACGGGGGGTTCTGTCCTCGAGGTCATTAGGAAACACGAATGCTTTAGGTCTGAAAGAGGTTAGCAGACCTCCGTTCTGCACTCACCCCGCTGCTGAGAGGAGGCTGGGACTGAGTTCTGGGAGGTGACAAGCAGCAGGTGAGACACACACGCGTCCACCCAGAAGCCCACGCACGCTCACGGCAGCACGGTTCAGGTGGCCAAAAAGTGGGAACACCCCAAATGTCCCTCAGTGGGCAAGTGGACAAGATCTGGGCCACCACACACGGGAGTACCAGCCGCGATCAGGAGCCAGGTGCCCTCACGCGCGGCCCCGGGGACGGACCCCGAGCCCACAACGCTCAGGGAGGGAACCAGACACAGAAGCCACACAGGGTGTGAGTCCACGTGGGCCACATGTCCAGAACAGGCTCATCTGCGGACGGGAAGGGGCCTTATGGGGGCTGGTGGCTTGGGGGCAGGGGGTGACTGCTGATGGGGCGGGCCTTCTTTGGGGGCTATGGAATGTTCTGGAATTAGATGGTCGCACACCTCTGTGGATGCTCGAGAAACACTGAAGTGTACCCTTTCAAAGGGTGAACTTTATAGTATGTGCATTACATCTCAGTAAAGCTGTTCCCTGAAGAAGGAAGAAAGGCAGGCAGTGGGGAGACCTGGGAGGGGCCAGGCGGGCAGTGGGGAGACCTGGGAGGGGCCAGGCGGGCAGTGGGGAGACCTGGGAGGGGCCAGGCGGGCAGTGGGGAGACCTGGGAGGGGCCCGGCGGGCAGTGGGGAGACCTGGGAGGGGCCCGGCGGGCAGTGGGGAGACCTGAGAGGGCCAGGCGGGCAGTGGGGAGACCTGGGAGGGGCCCGGCGGGCAGTGGAGAGACCTGGGAGGGACCAGGTGGGCAGTGGGGAGACCTGGGAGAGGCCAGGGGGGCTGGGGCGGCGGAGGCGGACACAAGTGGGTGGGCTCAGTGGGATCCTGGCGCAAGGACTGGACAGGGCAGGAGGGGAGAGGCAAGGCGGGCCGGCCGGGCAGGGTTTAGTGTGGGAATCAGTTTGGTTTTGCCGAATGGGGCGTGGCCTGGGACCACCCTGGCTGCTGCTCTCTCTCCCAGGACCCTGGCCAAGCGGTCGCCCTGGCAACCAGACACAGGGGGAGGCTGGTCCAGGTGGGGGCGGGGAGGAAGGGATCAGGCCACGGTACCTCGATGACGGGGTCGGTGGAGTACTGCTTCAGGACCTCCAGAACGTCTGGGTTCCCGATGGCCCCCAGGGCCTCGCCTGAGAAGAACCACACAAACAGCTCACGGTTGGTTAAGAAATGTCGCGGATACTGCGGGGGCGGGGGGGTACGACCAGCAACACCACCTCCTTTGTGCTCCCCCCTACCCCCCACCACGGCTCTGCTTGTATCTGTGACCCGTGGATTGGAGCTGGAGCGTGAAACTGGGCTGGGACCCCCCACCCCCAGCCCCGGGCCCATGCCCCCCATGCTTGTGGTCTAGGTGGGGAGACACTGACAAGCATGTCATGACAACTCAGAGACGTTGGTCAACATGGAGCCCCAAGAACACCCGGGTGAGTAGAGCTCGTCGAGGTGAGCCCCAGAGGAGGTTTTACGCTGCAGTGTGAGAGAGGAAGGTCAGCGGAGCTAGGCAGGGCTTGGTGGGGGAGCCTGACCGTCTCCCTGTGGGTCCCCATGAGCCCCCATGGGCCTATACGGGCACGGAGCAGGAAGAGACCCACGGCCAGCAAACACGCCGCACTCAATCCCTCCTCCGCTTTGCAAGTGGGTAGAGCACACTGCTGCCCACGATCAAGAACATCCTGATGGAACTGAATCCAGGTCAGGTCCCCCTCCTTGCCCGCAGCCGTCCAGGGCTCCCACCTCCCTCAGAGTAAAAGCCCAAGTCCTCCCTGAGGCCCCCCCAGGCCCTGCAGGCCCTGCCCCTTGCCCTTCCCTCCTCCCTCTCTCCCCGTCACTCCCTCTGCTCCAGCCACAGGGGCCTCCTTGCCACTCCCCCAAGGAGCAGACAGGGTATGGCGCCAGGACGTCTGCCCAGGCTGCATCCTCTGCCTGAAGCACCTTTCTCCAGATGACTGCCTGCCTTCGTTCAGATCTCTGTCCACTGATTAAAAAGGTTAACACCTCTGACACCCTCATCCTACTCCCTGCTTTACCTCTTCCTTAGCACTTCCGTGCTTCCGCCCTCACCAGACAAGGTGTTCTGCGATACCTGATACTCAAAATAGCAGAACTCTCGGGAAAGGTGAGGTCTGGAGGACGACGTTCTGGGTAGGGAGCGCTCCAACAAAAACAGTGACTGGCACACTGAGAGTTACCTGGGGCAGCCTGGGGACGGGGGCGGCTCAGCAGAGGGAGTAGGAGAAATGCCTAAAAAGAGTAAGACGGAAACAGAGCCCTGCCCCGCCCCCATCTGCAAAGCAGCTCACTGGTCAGGGACGGGGCCCCTCAACAGCACTGCTTGCCACGGAATTTACTCATCTCTCGTTTCTGGTGTCCCTCGAGGTAACAGGGCCCGGGACACAGCAGGTGCTCAATAAACACTGGCCCAGCGAATAACACGAACAAATGAAACCGGTATCGGGCTGACGAGCTCGCCACCTGGTTTTATATTAGCAAAAGATGGTTTCTGACTTATTTGCTTATTTTTCTTTTTAAAGGTTTTATTTGTTTGACAGAGCGAGCGAGCGAGCACAGCAGGGGGAGTTGCAGCAGCAGAGGGAGAGGGAGAAGCAGGCTCCCCGCCGAGCAGGGAGCCCCACACGGGGCTCGATCCCAGGACCCCGGGATCATGACCTGAGCCAAAGGCAGACGCTTAACCGACTGAGCCACCCAGGTGCCCGGTTTTTATGTTTTGTTTTTTTTTTTAAAGATTTTATTTATTTATTTGAGAGAGAGAATGAGATAGAGCATGAGAGGGGGGAGGGTCAGAGGGAGAAGCAAACTCCCCGCCGAGCAGGGAGCCCGATGCGGGACTCGATCCCGGGACTCCAGGATCACGACCTGAGCCGAAGGCAGTCGCTTAACCAACTGAGCCACCCAGGCACCCGCGGTTTTTATGTTTTTAAATGTCTTTTTTTTAGGGGCGCTTGGCTGGCCCAGTCGGTAGAGCACGTGACTCTTGATCTCGGGGCCCTGAGTTCCAGCCCCACGCTGGGTGAAGAGATAACTTAAAAATAAAATCTTTAGGGCGCCTGGGTGGCTCAGTTGGTTAAGCGACTGCCTTCGGGTCAGGTCATGATCCTGGAGTCCCGGGATCGAGTCCCGCATCGGGCTCCCTGCTCAGAGGGGAGTCTGCTTCTTCCTCTGATCCTCCCCCTCTCATGTGCTCTCTCTCTCTCTCTCTCATTCTGTTTCAAATAAATAAATAAAATCTTTAAAAAAAAAAAAAATCTTTAAAAAAATCCAACGGATGATATTTCCTGACGTGTGAAACTTACGTGGAATTCAAATCTGAGCGCCCATAAAGTCCCACCGGCACGTGGAGGGTAGTTTACCGCGGCTGCTTTTAATCACGAGGGCAGAGTTGCGTCTTGGCAACAGGGACTGTCTGGCTCACAGGGCTGAACATCTTACCACCTGCCCTTTATAGGTAAAGCCTGCCAAGCCCTGCTAGAACACGCGGGAGGGAGAGGGGGCATGTGAGGCAGACGGGACTGGGGGGGAGTGTGTGTGGAGGTCAGGCGTGCCCCCTGGCCACTCACCCGCCTCGTGGCGCACCATGGGCTCCTGGTGGGTGTCACGGAGCACGTCCAACAGCACGGGGATGGCCCGGGAGTCCTGCATCTGGCCCAGGCAGTAGGCCAGCTCGTGCTTGAGCAGGGCAGAGTCGTCGCCAAAGGCCCGGCTGATCCAGGTGATGGCTCCGGGACCACCGAGCCCGCGGAGGGTGAAGAGCGCCCGGAAGCGGGCCTGCAGGGGCTGCTGGGGGTCCACCAGCGTCTGCCCGATTGCCTCCACCTCCTGCTCTGTCACCATGGTGCCGCCGGCTGCCTCCTGCCCACGGGCCCAGGCCTTCCACAGCCTCACCTGCGCCGAAACCAGGGCCTCCCGGGCACAAGAACCTACAGGCGGAAAACCGAGAGCCCAGGTGAGCGGTGTTTTTCATCCGCTCACGGATTTGTTCATTTACGAGCGAGGAGAAGCAGCGCGAGCAGGAAGCTGAGAGCAGCTCCTCCAGCCCTGGTCCAGCCTTCAGCTGAAGCAGCCCCGGCTGATGTCCCCACTGCGACCTCAGGAGAAATCAGAGCCGGAAGCACCTAGCTACAGGGCCCAGATCCCCGGTCCACACAAACCGTGGGAGACAGTGTTTGCTGCTCTCAGAGCTGCTAAGTGTGGGGTGATTTGTTACAGGACAGGTAACTGAGGCGCAAATCCTTTCAGCATGTAAACCGGACCCCTGCCTAATCCTCCTATGGCACCTCGTTATTTCAAACTCCCTCATAGTCCCAAAGGCTCTGTGTGACCTGCCCCCACCCCTGCCAGCCCTCCCCTCCTCCCCCTCGCTCACTCTGCTTCAGCCACACGGGCCTCCTGGCTCTTCCTCCAACACACCAGGCCCAGTCCTACCCCAGGACCTTTGCATGGGTCGTTCTCTTCCTCAGGAACACTCTTCCCCAAATGCCTCCCATGCTCACCCTCTCACTTTCTTGGGTCTCAAATGTCACCTTCTCAGGGCAGCCTTCCCTGATCACAGTTGTCACGGTTACTCACTCTTTTCCCTTGTTCTACTTTTCTTCAAAGCACTTAACACCACAAGATATCATATAGGACGTTTACCAGTTTAGCTGCCTATGGTCGGTCTTATCCCTCATCAGAACTCTGAAGGCAGGGACCGAGTCTCTCTTAGTCACCACCATACTCCCAGCAGTCCGTAAGCCTTCAGTAAAAACAGCCCTACCAGTAACAGCAGCTGACATTTACAGAGGACGTACTATGTGCCAGGCCCCTCTGCTAAGCCCCTCACACTCACCGACTCATTTACCTTTCCCCACAAACATATGAGATGGGCACCAGGCTTGTCACCCTTTTACAGGCGAGAAAGCAGACACACAGGTTAATAACTTGCTTATGAACAGTGTGAGGAGTTATAAATCCAGGGAGCTGGGCTCCAGAGTCAAGCTCTAAACCACAAATGCTGTGTTGAGTGGATGGACTGAGACGAAATGACACAGCCTAGGCTGGGAGGCGGGGCTCCATCTCTGTCCTCTGGACCAGTGAAGACCTGGCGGACGCCTCGTAAAGCGTGCTGTGGCGTCAGCAGAGCTCACTGGGCTTCATGAGGGAGGCGCAGCTGCCTGAGCAGGGGTGACCATCGCGGGAGGGAGAACCAGAAACCACAGAAGCCAGGAGTGAGGGAGCTGGCAAGGCGTTAGGGGCCCTGAGCTCTGACTCTGCTACAGGGATGGGCAGCAACTTGTGTGGGCTCACACGGCAAGCCAAGGGCAAACAGGACCCGGGAGTCCTGACTCCCAGGCTCTGCAGGGTCGTCCTCAAGACACCCGGAGAAGGCCCTTCATCGCCTACTCATCCCCAGAGTCCTTAAATTCCTGGGAGTGAGGGGAAATCTGGCCAACGAGGCAGCTCCAGCTACGGGAGAGGAGCATGAGGAGAAAATACGCTGCAGATCTCCAGGGCAAGACTTGAACTTGGGCAAAAGTCTCTGGGCTTGGTTTCTGCATTTGGAATAAAACTATTAATAGCTCACAAGTCGGGTTTCCTTCTAGTCTCTGTTCAGACACTCAATGTGCAGGCAGGAACTCTCTGAGCACCCGGATGTAGCCATGCAAACCCTCCGTGCCCTGCACTCCCATTATGGCGGCTTCAGTGATCCACGCAGCATCTAACAGCACCTGGTGTCCAGAGTATTTCACGGATCAGTTTCTAACTATAGAAAGTAAGGGCCGGGAGGGCAGGACTTCGTGTGTGTGTGTGTGTGTGTATAAAGAAACCTGGGGGCGCCTGAGTGGCTCAGTTAAGCTTCTGCCTTCGGCTCAGGTCTTGATCCCAGGGTCTGGGATCGAGTCCCGCATCGGGGGGGGGGGGGTCCCTGCTCAGCGGGGAGCCTGTTTCTCCCTCTCCCACTCCCCCTGCTAGTGCACGTGCACTCTTTCTGTCAAATAAATAAAATCTTCTAAAAAAATAAAGAGAAATCTATTACACACACATATGTATACACACACACAGGTATCTATATTACTTTGTTCACTGCTGGGTCCCCAAGGCCTAGCATGGGATCGGTCACCGTGGCAGGAGGTGCCCAATCCGTATTTGAGTGAACTGAACACCCACTGCACACCAACCATGGTACTAAGCTCTTCATACACAGTGTAAATCTGTGTCATTCGTAAAATGGGTGGAAGGGGCACGTGGACCTCACAGTTACTGCAAATGAAGGTGTGCTCGCGGAGGGGCGCCTGGCGGGCTCAATCGGTGGAGCGTTCTACTCTTGATCTCCAGGTTGTTAGTCTGAGCCCCACATTGGGTGTAGAGATTACTTAAAAATAAAATCTTAAAAAGAAGAAGAAGAAGAAGAAGAAGGCGTGTTCATGGAGCACCTTACACGCATTTGACAAACCAGAGCTAGCCTTAAATATTCCTGCAGGGAGCCCCAAACCCACCTCTCTGTACTCAGGAGGGCGCACCTAGCCTCCTGGAAGCCCACAGCCCATACCGTCAACCCATTCTTCAGTGGGAAGCAGGGCAAGGGTGTGGGCGCGGGGTTGAGGGCATCAGCCCCCAACCAAAGCAGAATCCGGGAATCTGCTCACCCCTGCGAAAGCCTCTTGATGAACTAGTAAGGGACGGCGAAAAAGGAGACCAGGCTCCTCGGCCTCTCGCCCCCACCCGAGACCTATCTAAACCGAGAATCCCCAACAAACACACCTCTGGTAACCAACTCTCCCCCGGAAAGGGGTCTTCCCAACAGGGGATTCCCTCAGGGCTGCTCGCAAGACCCCACCCGTTGGAAGAGAACCCGAGGAGCCGGAAGCCTCAAGATCTGCCTACGCGGGTCCCCAAGGACTGGATCCCTCATAGCGTCGGTTCTCCCGAAACTCGAGAAAGGGATCGCCCGATACGGGGCCCCCTCCCCCACACGCGCCGGCTCCCAGGGTCCCACAGCCTGGGAATCCAGGCCCCGGCGACAGGGCCCCCAGAACCTGGGCAAAGAGCTCGCCGGGACTCGGAACCCCTCAGGAGGAGGCCCCGCGACCCCCAACTCACGAATCCTAGAGCCGGGACCTCCCCGCGAGGGTTGCCCGCCGCGCCCGCCCGCCAGGCCCGGGCCACGCGCGTGCCACCTGCAGCCGAAACGCCCACGCGAGCTCCGCGACGACGAGGCCGCCGACCGCACCCGCGCCCCCAGCGGCCCCCAGCGGCCCCCGCCCCGACGCTCGCGGCACGCCTGGGGGCCGCCATCTTCCCGCCCACGTGACCGGGCCGGAAGGCACCAACGCGGCGCTGGGGGGGCTCCAGTCAGAGTCTCCGCGGCAGGAGGGCGGTCTGGAAGCACGGTCGGCATCGGCGCCAGCTCACACTCACACGGCAGGTGGAGTCTAAGGACACCCCTCCGGGAAGGGGAGGACAGCGTCCACTCTTTCCGCGGAAGACATTCTCTCCGGCTTCCCCACCCAGGTCGATAAGTGGAAATGGTTTGTGCCGATTCTGGCCCGGGCGGGGGAGCGACGGAGCAGGCGCCGTGCTCCTGGGGCGTGGTCAAGTCCGGGGGCGTGGCCAGTGGCGTCAGGTGGCCGCCCCGAGCTGGGGAAGGGAGGGGTCTAGCCCTTTCTTCGGACCCGATCGGGTCGTTCACTCCTCGTTCGCTTAACAAATAGTTAATGCGGGGGCGCCTGGGTGGCTCAGTCGGTTGAGCGACTGCCTTCGGCTCAGGTCATGATCCCAGGGTCCTGGGATCAAGTCCCACATCGGGCTCCCTGCTCAGCGGGGAGCCTGCTTCTCCCTCTCCCACTCCCCCTGCTTGTGTTCCCTCTCTCGCTGGTCTCTCTTTGTCAAATGAATAAATGAAGTCTTTAGAAAATAATAAAAAATAAAAAGGCACAGTGGGGTGCCTGGGTGGCTCAGTTGGTTAAGCGACTGCCTTCGGCTCAGGTCATGATCCCAGGGTCCTGGGATCGAGTCCCGCATGGGGTTCCCTGCTCAGCAGGGAGTCTGCTTCTCCCCCTGACCCTCCCCACTCTCATGCTCTCTCTATCTCATTCTCTCTCTCAAATAAATAAATAAAATCTTAAAAAAAAAAAAAAGTTAATGCGGGGGGGGCGCCTGGGTGGCTCAGTCGTTAAGCATCTGCCTTCCGTGCAGGTCATGGTCCTGGGGTCCTGGGATCGAGCCCCACATCGGGCTCCCTGCTCAGTGGGAAGCCTGCTTCTCCCTCTCCCACTCCCCCTGCTTGTGTTCCCTCTCTCGCTGTGTCTCTCTCTGTCAAATAAATAAATAAAATCTTTAAAAAAAAAAAAGATAAAGATGCTGTTTATAAAATGCTAGGGTTGGGGCGCCTGGGTGGCTCAGTTGGTTAAGCGACTGCCTTCGGCTCAGGTCATGATCCTGGAGTCCCGGGATCGAGTCCCGCGCATCGGGCTCCCTGCTCGGCAGGGAGTCTGCTTCTCCCCCTGACCCTCCCCACTCTCATGCTCTCTCTATCTCATTCTCTCTCTCAAATAAATAAATAAAATCTTAAAAAAAAAAAAGTTAATGCGGGGGGGGGGCGCCTGGGTGGCTCAGTCATTAAGAGTCTGCCTTCGGCTCAGGTCATGATCCCAGGGTCCTGGGAGTGAGCCCTGAGTTGGGCTCCCTGCTCCTCGGGAAGCCTGCTTCTCCCTCTCCCTCTCCCCCTGCTTGTGTACCCTCTCTCTGGCAAATAAATAAATTTTAAAAAAGCAAAAAAACCCAAATAGTTAATGGGGGCCGAGGACAAGACAGCCTGCGATCCCTACCCTCGAAAACCTCAGAGCCTGGTTGTCTGAGGGAGACAGACAAGAAATAAATAAGTAAAATACGTGGTAGGTGGTGACACTGGTTAAGCAGCATAGTTCAAGGGCAGTGCGAAGTCTTAGGAGGAGTGGCCAGAGGCTCAGGTGGTGACGTCTGAGTAAACACCTGGCAGGTACGGGAAGGAGCCGCGGGGATGGTTGCGGGAGAGCCACCCAGAAGGACTTGGGTTTACTCTGACGCAGTGAGAAGCCTGAAGTGTTCTAACCAGGGAAACACATATGAAAAGTGTTTTACCTTTGGAACGTGCAAAGTTGGTTGCAACGGTATTTGTAAAGGCAAGGAAAAAAAATATTGGAAAAAACGGTGACGTGCAGACCCTCTTCTGCCTCCGGGGGGGCTCCAGCCCCCTTATCATTCACCCGCACCACCGCAGTCCCTTTCAGCCTGCCTTCCTGGCGGCTGTCCTCACCCCTCAGCGTCTGTCCTCTCCGCAGCGGCCACCAGAGGCCACCTGTGGGCAACTGAGCCAGGCCCCGCCCTCCTCTGCCCTCAGCCCTCCAGGGCTCCCACCTCCCTCAGGGTGAAAGATCAAATTCTCCCCTGACCCCCAAGGCCCGGCATGACTTGCGGGGTAGGGGGGGCGCCCTCCCTATCCTTCCCTCCTCCCCATCACCTTGTTGCTCACTCTGCTCCAGGTACACAGGCCTCCTTGCTCTTCTCCAACACGCCAGGCCCAGTCCTTCCCCAGGGCCTTTGCACGTGTTGTGCGCTCTGTATGGACTGCTCTTCCGCCTGGTACTCCCATACATGCTTCTCTTCCTCCTCTGGGTCTGCTCACATGCATCCTCATATGGCCTTGGCTACCCTAGTTTAAGCTCCAACTCCCTTCTTAGTAGTCCCAACCATGGTACCTCCACCCCAATACCACCCTTTTTTTTTCTTTTTAGATTTTATTTATTTATGTTAGAGAGAAAGAGAGTGCGCGTGCACATACACGCACACACACATGCCTAAGCAGGGTGCTGGGGAGGGGCAGAGGGAGAGGGAGAGAGAGAGAGAGGGAGAGAAGTAGACTCCCTGCTGAGCACGGAACCCGACTTCAGACTCTATCCCATGACTCGTGATCATGACCTGAGCTGAAATCAAGAGTCGGATGCTCAACTGACTGAGCCACCCCAATGCCACTCTTCACTTTCTAACTCAATACATCACTCACTCAAGGTTATGTTTTTCTCAGTGTATCCCCCTATCTTGAATGTCAGCTCCATGAAGGCAGGGATGTTCCCAGAAGAGGGAACAGCTCGAGCAAAGGCCCTGAGGTGGGGGAAGGACGTGCAGAGTACCAGCCTCGTCAGCTGGAGCTGAATGAGGGAGGGGGGCCGCTGGGCGGAAGTGATTAATCCAGGCAGATGGTAGCCTTGGAGGAGCCCCAATCCTCTTACCCAAAGCCCCTGAATACTTCCGCCACGCAGGTCACCTCCGGGCCTCTCCTGCTCCAGGTGGCCGTCATGCCGGGGCTGGCAGGCGAGCAGGGGATGGAGGGCTGGAGCCCGGCCCCACCGCTGTATGAGGAGTACCGCCCACCCCCCCTGGATGCCATCCGCCTGCCCAGATATGCGCTGTACCTGCTGCTGGCGGCCCTCCTGGTGGTGGCCGTGGCATATGCCATTGTGGGTCATCTCATCAAGGACCTCGCCCATGACCTGGCCGGTGAGCTGCTACCCACCACGAGCCCTGCTTGGGACAGTGCTGGGCCGCTCTGGGCCGGGGGGTGGGGGGGGCGGGATGCAAGGGCCTCTCGCAGCCAGGGAGGGGACAGAGGGTGGGTGAGGCCCCGGGAGGCTCCTCACCTGCGTCCTACTGCAGACTGGGCCTTCGGCCCGAAGCCAGAGCAGGAAGACGCCCCTCGGGAACTGCGCTCGAGCCTGGAGGGTGAGGATCTGGAAGAGCTGGACCTGCAGCTGGCCCTGGCCTGGCGGGGTGATGAGGACCCTGGCGGGGGTGGCGACGCAGCCCCTGCAGAAGCCCCCGCCCCGGCTACCCGCCGCCCTTCCATTGCCTTCAAGGACCCACCTGCTCGAAGCTCCTTCTGGAGGCTGGACTGAGCCGGGCCCTGCCCTCTAGCCCGGTACCTGGGTTTGAACCCCTCTGGCAGTTGTGTAGACCGGACTTGTGCACGCTGGATCCCTTGCTCCACTGATCTGCCCCGTCTTGGCAGAGAATGTTCTCTTTCTTGGCTGGCAGGTTCCAGTGGTTGGTCACTGGCACTTTCCACACTCCTGCTCCCCCCGTAGCCCCAGAGCCTGATTCTGCCCAACCTCCACCAAGAAGAGTTTGTCGAAGAGTAACAATGGTGCTAACCCTTACTGAGTGCTTAGTGTGTCCCTGCTGTTGTGCTCAGTGAGCCTTTTCCACGTATTACTTCATTTAATCCTCACAGGCCAGGACTTTTCACCCCCATTTAACACATGGGAACATGGAGGCACAAAGCCCGGAAATGACTTGCTTGGAGCAGAGAGAACCTTTTGCAGCAAGAGGCCAGTTCCGTGACCTGCCTTCGAACGCAGAAGCCCCAAGGCAGGGTTCTGGCCCTGCTCTCCCGAATCTGCTCCAACCCCACCCCCCACCTCCTCCCCAGCTCTGCTGCTCTGCCCGCCAGATATGTTGGTTTCTGGGGGTCCTGACTTCCCAGCTAACCTGAGAACTCCCAGAGGACAGTGTCTGAGGCTTCCTCCCTCCCTTCTGAGCTTGGCACAGACAGGGCACACAGTAGGAGCTTCGTAGGCACCACTCGGGTGGTTGAGATGGGCTCGCTCTGAGCAGGTGCCTGAGCTCCATCACTCTACTGGATGGCCCCTTGCGCAGTGATGATAGACCTCAGGGAGGCAGGAGGCCCCAGGGATGCATGGGTGCTCCTTAAAGATGTGTGCAGTGACACTCGTACCCCCCCAGCCCCCAAGGGCCCTGCAGAGCCCCCCGCCCCCCGGTCGGGGCTTCCTGCCACGTGCCTGGGCCGTGGCTGTCCAGTGGCAGCTGGAGTGAGGTGCTCCTTCTCCTGGGCAGGGCTCCCTATCTAATCAGCCAGGGACCAAGGTTGATGGACAGGAGAGCCTGCAGCCTGAGTCATCCGCTACCTGGGCGGCCCATTCTCCGGCCATCAGGGCGTGGCTGGGTTTGGAGATGGATAGTGGGCCACGTGGCCCATCACTTCTTGTCCCTGTGCTCATCCCAGTATTGGCTGTGGGTCCCCAGGGGTCTGGGAGCCAGGATGAGGCAGTTTAAGCCAGTGGTGGGGGAGATCTGGGCTCAGATCCCGGCTCCAGCTATTTCTGCGTGACCTCTGTGCTCCTGGCCTCCTTGGGCTTCTCTGAAAATGGAGATAGAAACATTTTGTGGGGTGTTCAGAGAAGGAGACACAGTGATGCCTGGCAGCCCTGAGCCCAGGCCCATTTCGGCCTGGCCACTGCGGCACGGAGCCTGGGGGACCTGGAGGCTGGGTCCTGGGGTAGGGCACAGGGTGGGGGGGCTGGACTCCCCGCGTTAATTGTTATACCAGGTCCAGAGTCTGACCTCCGGGTCTGGACCAGCCCCGCCCCTAGGCCCGCCTGCCACCATATCAGGGGCTGGGCAAGCCTCACCCAGCTAACCTTGACTGCACGGCTGCTGGCTCTTCCACGACCATGGAGACCCTGGAGACCCTTCTCCTGCTCAGCGCCCTGCTCCTGTCACCTGCAGAGGCTCAACAGGGTAGGGCTCCGACCTGGACCTGGGGTGGGGGGTGGGCAGAGGCGGGGGGGAGGGGTCGTGGGAGGGGCTCATTCATAGGCTCACCATCTCCCCATTTTTCATGATGAGGAACCGAGACCTCTGAAAGGAGGGGGCAGGCAGAGGAGGAATGGGGTCAGGACCCTCTTGGAACCCCCCAGCCCCCACACTCCCTCTGGGCCTCTCTCCCATCCCTGAGATGCACCTAGCTCCCTCCCCTTCTCTAGAACTGGTCTCTGACGCCCGGCCCCTTTCCAAGACCCCATTGGCTTGAGCATCCCCCAGCAGCCTTCCCCTCTTCCCTTTCGGGGGCAGGCCCCAGCCCTGCCCCATCTCTGAGTCCCACCTGCCCCACCTTCGGACAGCCTTGCAGTATCGCCTGAAGCCCTGGCTGGTGGGCCTGGCTGCCGTCGTGGGATTCCTGTTTATCGTCTTCATCCTCATGCTGGTCAACCACGTCTGGTGCTCCAGTATGAGGTGGGAGCCCCTCTCCCCACTCCCCACAGCCGCTGTCCCTGTCCTCCTCCTCCTCTCCCCAAAGTGTTGGGCACCCCTCCCGCTCCTGACTCTCTCTGGTCCTTCCCCCCTCCGCCATCTCCCTATTTCCCTGTTCCAGCTCAGACCCCCCCCCCCCCCCGCCACCTCACAGCCTCTCAGTCTGGGACAACCATGCCACCCCTCTCAGTCCAGGACAACCATGCCGCCCATCTGCCTGGCTTGGTGCAGTTCATGAGCCCCAGCCAGGGGAGACTGTGAAGGCTACCTCCTGCCCTTCACCCACCTTCACCCCTCTATCTCTATCTCTCTCGCAGAGCTGAGGACGAGGAGTCCGCATTCAAAATGGAGTCCAACCCGTATCAGGACGTGGCCCTGAGGTACTGCTCGTGTGAGCATGTGTGGGTGTGTGCGGGGTCAGGGGTTTTGTGGGAGCCCCCTCTGGGTGTGGGGAGGGGTGGGTGTGCACAGATGACCCCTTTCTGCTCTTCAACTCTTCAAGCACATTCCTGCCCCGGGGCCTTTGCACATACTGTTCTCTCTGATTGGAACACCCTTTCCTGTATCTTCTGGCTGGCTCCTCCTTCAGTCCTGGCTCAGATATTTCCTCCTCACAGAAGCCCACCCTGACCACCAGCCTTCCTGACACTCTATGTCCCCCAACTGTGCATTCTTCTTTGCACTTATCACCAGCTGAAGTGATCTTAGTCATTTGCCCCTTTCTCCACGCTAGCTGGTAGCTTTCAATAGACAAGAGAACTTAGCTTTGGTCCTGGCTGTGTTCCCAGTGCTCAGCACGGGGCCTGGAGCACAGTAGGTCTGTTGAACAAGACCGTGGTGTGGGATTGTGTAGGGGTCTGTGCATGAGCATGTGATCGGGTGGGTGACTCTCCTGGACTCCCCTGTTGGTAGTTTTCTCCCTGCTTTGTTCATCCCTCCATCCATCCATCTATCCATACACCCACCCATCCATCCATCCACCCATCCATCCATCCACCCATCCATCCATCCATCCATCCATCCATCCATCCATCCATCCATCCATCCATCCGCCTATTCACACTTCACTTTCCAACCATCTATCATTCATCCATCAGTCTCCCTACCCAGTAACCCGTTAATCCATTCATCCATCCACCTGTCTACACTGCCATCCATCCAACCATTTATACTCCCATCCATTGATCTGTCATTCTCTTTTCCCTCCTGTTTCCTCACTCATCTTCCCATTCATTTATTCATCTCTCCATGAAGCTATCCATTCACCTAACCACTTATCTGCCCATCATCTATCCAACCATCCATCCATTCATTCCCTCACCCACCCATCTACCTTCTCACCCACCCATCCATCCACCCACCCATTTCCCCCACTCATCAGCCCAGTGATCTATCTACCCATCCACCCATCTACACTCCTATCCATCCATCCATTGACCCATCATTCTTTCCTTCTTCTAATTAATCTATTCACCTACTACACTACCTATTCATCCATCCATGCAAGCTTCTATTCACCTCTCTACTTATCTACCTATTCATCCATCCTCCCATCCATCCATCCATCGTCCATCCATCCATTCTCCATCCACCTGTCCATCCATGGGATGGTTGAGTCTTAGTGTCTGCCTTTGTGAAATGGAAATAGCAAGGCTTCCTCATGAGGACTGTTTGAGAATTCAACAAAGGTGTAGAACACCTGGCACGGGTATGTGTCAGTTAAATGAGACTGTTTCTCACTGTGGTCTGGGCCCTTTGTATCCCTACAGTGAAGAAGGCAAGAGGGAGAGGAAAGGGGAGATAAAGGACAAGAAGGGCAAGAAGGCTGAGAAAGAAGGAGAGAGAAACTTGGGGCTGGAGCTGGAGGAGAAAGAGGAGTCCAGAGGTGATGGGAAAGTCACGAACACAGCCATGTGAGGACTCGACACCGACTTCCTCCAGGCAGCCGCCCCGAGATGCCCCTTTCACATCGTGTAAGCGATGATCTGGACATGAAGCCACCGTAATAACTGCATGTAGAGCTGCGAATACCGAATGAAGAGGGGTGGGACTTGCCCTGCCCCCCAGGGAGGCTCTGTGTGCTGCGTGCGTGCGCTTTATGCACCCCCCTTCCTGACTTGACTGCCTAGTGATTCTTCTTGCACTGGGAGCGCGTTCTTGGTTGTGGAGAAACCCCCAAGCCCTCACCATCTCATGGCTCCACCTACTTCTGCCCACCGCCTGATTTCTTTTCCCTCTCCCTGATATCTGTTGGCCAGAACCTCCCTTCCCCCCACTCAGCCTGGGGACCAACGTGGGGCAGGGGCTGCCTTTTGGAGACCTGCATTAAAGAATTGATAAGAGCCCTTCAGAAGGGCTCCTGTTGTCTCTTGGGACACAGTTTCCCCGTGGGGGAGGCAGCTTTTGGGGTTGGGGTCAGGTCTGGTAGAGCAGGCTGCACCGTACCCAGATGCCCTGGGCACACTCAACCCTCTCCCTGCAATCTTGATTTTGCTGCCCTGAGCCTTGGACTTTGAGCCCCGAGAGTGCCGTATCCTGGGAAATCCTTGCTACCCCACCCCTCGTCTAGGCTCACATGACTCCATTCCCCGGGAACTGTGTCCGGGAGGCTGTGTGCCCCCGGGGCTCTGCGCCCCCCTGGGAAGGGACAAGTACTTTCTCCTCCCAGTCTCCAGCCACTCCTTTCACCTCATTTTCTCCGGGCCCTGGACCTTGCCCTGGATATTAACCATTTCTTAATAAGGACCTTGATAAAGGCTGGCATTCGGGCTGGGTTCTGGGGCGGGTCGCTGGGGTTGTTGGTAGGATGTAACCCCCAAGGCTGCTAGAACACTTCCAGGATCGTCCACCAGGGGGTGGAAAAAACATAAATAAATAAAAGCAAGGTACTACACGCCCTCATAGATGCTCCCAGGGAGCGCCCAGCATCTTAATCCTCAGTCTCCATCAGTACACAAGTAGTCCCATTTTCCAGCTGAAAATACTGAGGCGTAGAAAGAAAGATGGCCACTGGCCAGGTCTCGAGCGTTGCTCTTGGCAGAGCTGGGATGAAGCCCAGGCTGCCCAAACGATGAGGGAGTTTGTAGGCTCTGGCTGAGGTCAGATTTGGAGGTTAATGTCCTAGGATGGGAGAGGGTTGGAGCGCCGGGTGTCCGTTGCTGGCTGTGGTTCCTAGCTGGGAGAACGTGTCCCTCTGGAATGCTGTGTGGCCCCCCGGGGCGGTAGTCCCTCATCTGCAACCTGAGGACAAGCGTTAGGAAGCTTGAAGCAGGTGCTGGGGCTTAAGAACCATTGCAAGGCCTGACGCATAGTAGGTGCTCAGGAAACGCATTCCCCACCTTTCCTGAGCCTCTCCCATGGCTCTGGCTGTGGGGAGTGAGGGGGCCAGGGTGGGCCTCTGGGAGACAGGGTGCTGGGATGCCTGGGACGCCGGACCCCTCCCCAGCATACCCAGAATCCAGGGAAGGGGGCCCCACCCCCCTACTTCCTGTGGCCCTGGCCACACCCTGCCCTGGGGTGTCCGGGGCGGGCCGCTTCCTCCTCTAATGGGGTGGCACCCTGGGCCCCGCTGGGAAGAGGCCAGGACAGACGGACAAGGATGGACAGATTCTGGATGACCGCTGGACTACATCTGGCATCTCTGGTCCCGCGGCCGGTTCAGGCCCAACCCTGTAAGGCCTCGGCAGGGAGAGGGGGTGGGAAGGGAGCCCCCAGCCGGTGGCCCAGCCGCTGACCCCGCCCCACCCTGCCCGCAGTGGCCCAGAGGAAGCCGTGGCTGGTGGGGCTCGGGGCCGTACTGGCCGCCCTCTTCCTCATCTTCGTCCTCATCATGGTCTATGCCATCTGGTGCAGCCAGCCCCGTGACGGGTAGGCCCCCCTCCTGTGTGAGTCCCTCCCCTGCTGAACTGGGGGCTCAGAGCCCCTTCCCTCCCCTCTCCTCTCTGAGCCTCGGAGGAGGCAGGGCCAGGGGGCAATTCTTTGATTCAGAACTGATGGGGCCTCATATAACCTCACTGACTTCCCTCCTGACTCCCTACCTGAAAAACGAGGTGGCTTCCCTGAGACCCCATCGCTCATATGTGTTTCAGATGGGATCCCTGAAGTCCTTATCACCTCCCCTCAAGCCTCACGCATTTATCCCTCCCTCCGTCCGTCCATCCATCCCTCTGTGTGTCCATCCCACTGTCTGCGCCTCTGTCCACCTCCCCCCCAGCCCCGTCTGCATGTCCATCTGTTCATCCGTCCACCCATTCACTCATTCACCGAGCCACCCATCAATCGACCCATCTCCCCATCTCTCTGCCTGTTCCCTCACACACAGTTCTGAGACCCGGGAAGCCAGAAAGGCCAGATGTGAAGAGTCGGGTTCGGGCTCCCGTAGCTCACGCATGAGCTCCCCGCACTTCCTTCTTGTTCAAACAGGGCAGGCATCCTAACCTGTCTGAGCCTCAGCACGGCCTCCGCACAATGGGAACGATGAGAGTGCAGGACTCAGAGGTTCTGGGTGAATCGCAAGAGGCCTGGACAGTGTAACTCCTTATTAAGTGAGGTTTTCTGGACCCTTCTTGTCTCCACAGCAAGAAAGAGAAGGAAGAGGGGACCGTGAGAGAGGAGGAGAAAGAAGCAGAGGGCAACGGGGGGCTGGAGCTGGAGGAGAAAGAGGGGCCTCCAGACCACGAAAGAGTGGCAAGCTCCTCTGAATGAAGTCTTCCCACCTGCCTCCTCCCACCTTCCCAGCCTGGCCCCCTCCAGGCAGGCCTCCCAGGGACGCCAGTGCCTGCTCTGCAGCCTACAAGCAGAGACCTGGTCCTGGGGCCAGCGAAATTATTCCATGTGGGGTTCAGGTGAAGTGTCCCTGAATGAGGAGCACTCAGGCCCCACCCCAAGTCCCCCGCTTTGCATTTACCTGGGCATTTATACAGCCCCTTCCCAAGCACCCCCTTCCCCTTTGAGCCGGGAAGAGGTCCGGTGGGGGGAAACCATGCAAAGGCCCTGTGGTGTTTTCCGGGCCCCAGAGCAGGTCCAGTCCTCCAGCCGTCTTGCTTTTGTTTTGTTGCTCCTGGGCCTGAACTTTGGGGGGGGGGGGGGCAGCACGTGGCCGTTTCCTGGGAGCTGAGGGCCCTCCCACCGGGCGCTGGGTTTCTCATCACTGCTAGCTGTGCTTGGGTGCGGGTGCTGAGGGTGGGCGGAGACGGCGTCCTCAGCCCCTCTTCCCGGGCTGCGCGCTCCCGCGGCAGCTGCACATCGCTGTGCGGCCCTAAGCATGTAACTTAACCTCTCTGTGCCTAAGTGTCTTGTCCTGTAAAAGGGGGAGGACAGTAACTTGATCCTTTCTAAGTTGTCATGAGGATTAAATGAAATACTGTCCACGAAGATCCCAAGCACAGAACCCCCGGAACCCAAAAGGTGTCTAGGAAATGTCAGCTTTTTGTTATGCTGAAATGGTGTGGGAGACCCCCCCCCCCCCCCCCCCCGGCCTGGGGGATCTAGGAGGGCACAGGGTGCGTGTTCAGACTGCAGCTCTGGCGCCCCCGCGTCCTCTGCCTCTGGTCCGGGGGTTCGGATCGGGGGTCCAGAGGGTCCGGGTGGGAGGCGGCGCTGCGGTCGCGGGGGGGGGGGGGGGGGAGGGGAGAAGGGCGGGGCTGTGTGACTCCTCTCTTTCCGCGGGGCGAGACTTCTCCCCCAGGGGCGTCTGGAAATTGTGGGGGGCGTTTTGTGGCAAGCCTGCCCCCCTTCAGGGCATTGAGTTGGGGGCCCAGGGATGGCAAACAGCTTGCAGTGTTGGGATGGCCCCCCAAAGCCAAGAACTGCATCACTTCAGGGGCCAATGTCTAAAAAACACGGAGGCTTTCCTTGAGATCGAGGGCACCCCGACCCAGCTGAGCCCCGACCTCCTGTCTGAGGACGCCAACCCAGGCTGAGCCCCCCGACGCAGACTGACCCCCTACCCCGGCTGAGTCCCCCAGCCCTGGTTAAGCCCCACAGCCCTGACTGACCCCCCCAACCCCAGCCGAGGCCCCCACCCCTGGTTGAGCCCCTTAGCCCTGACTGACCCCTAACCCTGACTGAACCCCTCAACCGTAGCTGAATTCCCGACCCCCGGTTGAACCCCCATCCCACCTGAGCCCTTACCCCAGATGAGCCCCCAACCCTCTGAGCCCCCACAACAGGCTGAACTTTCACCCCGCAGAAGAAGCTCTTGCCAGCGCCCCCTTTCCCGCTGCGGGAAGGGGCTGGACGGTGGGGGTTGGGGCGCAGGTGGTTGGGGGCCCCTCCCCCCAAGACCCGGCTTCTGGATCCAGATCCTCGTCCCGTCCACAAGGGGGCGCCAGAACCGCGCTGCTGAGGGCAGAAGCACCCAGCCCCGTTGGGGATGGGGCGTGGGAAGGGGACTGGGGGGCCTAGGACCCCATCCCCCGACGACTGTCGTCTGTCCCTGTCTGGGCGGTGGCGTGGGGCAGTGCATCTGTGTGTAGCGTAGGGCACTGTGCCTGGGTCCCTCTGAGTGTCTTGTCTCTCTGTGCCTCGGTGTCCCCATCAGTAAAAAGGGATATAATCGTCCCTCCTGGGTGGGTCTGTTGCAGTTTGGAAGGAGCTTGTGCAGCAGAGAGCTTTGCTTTCTCATCTTGGGGTTCCTCGGAGGTCTCTGGGGGACTTGAAATGGGGGGAGGATGATGGGCCAGGACTCACAGATCCCAGCCCCCCCAAGAAAGGGAAGTGACTGCCCCTCACATGCGCGATGCTCCTGTGCTGTAAGCCTCCCTCCTCTCTGACCCCAGCCTCTGAGAAGCCCCCGTGGCTGCCAGGGTTGGGGGAAGAACTGGACAGGACCACTGCCAGGCTGACTGATCAGGGCTGGGCTGGGAGGGATTGGGGGCTGGGAGCTGGGAGGGTGAACAGGGGCTTTGCCCAGGCAGGTGGGGAAGGCCTCCGGGACCAGAGGTTGTTAGAATGAAGTCAGGTCCTGCCGTCCTCTGCCCACAGCCCTCCAGGGCTCCCACCTCCCTGGGGTAAAAGCCCAGGTCCTCCCCGAGGCCCACAAGACCCTGCAGGACCTGTCCCATCCCCTCCTCCCCTGGTCCCTTATTCTGCTCCAGTCACACGGGCCTCCTGGCTGTTCATCCAACATGCCAGGCAGGGTCCTACCCCAGGGCCTTTGCACAGACTGTGCCCTCTGCCTGAAACACTCATCTGTCAGATTTCCAGGAGGTTGTTTCCCCTCATTCTATTCGTCTCTGTTTAAGTGTTACCTCATGTGAGACCCACTCTCCTATCCCTTACTTTGCTTTACTTCTTTGGCACTTACCTCCTCTGATATATATTTTACTTATTTTTATTGTTTACCATGCATCTTCCCAACTTGGAACTGTAAGGGCTATGAAGGCAGGTTATTTTGGGCATTTTGTTCCCTGCTGTGTCCCCAGTACTTGGTACTCAGCAGATGCTCAGGAAATCTTTGCTGAATGAATGGGAGTTTGCCAGGTGGAAAAAGAGGGAAAGCATTCTGTACATTTATGGAGCACTGACTGTGTGCCAGGTTCTGTCCTTGGGAGCCCGGGGGTGGGAGGGGGAGGCAGAATTTCCTGGCACAGAGAAGGTGCTCCATAGATGCCCATGGAGTTTGTTGATTGAAGGCCCTAGGGAGATCTGAGGCTGGTCGGGGAGGAAGCTAGACTGGGGAAAGGTGGGCCGGCCTTCTGGAGGAAGAGGATGTCGTTGTGGGAGCTGAAGGGTCTGCGTAGAGTGGGGAGGCAGTGATGAGCAGCAGAATAGCAGGAGCCAAGGTTCAGGGGTGTGAAATGGCCCCTTGTAGGAGCGGGGGGACCACTGGAGCACCAAGGGCATTGCAGGAAGGACCTGGACCCAGAGCTCACCAAAGTCAGTGTGTAAAGCAGGTCCCTCCTGTGGGCTCTGCGGACACAGACATGGGGCCAGATCGCTCTCTGCGGGGGCACCCTGGGTGCCGTGGGGGGCTGTGCAGCACCCCAGGAGCATCCCTGTCAACAAACATCCCCGGGCACTGTGGAGGGCCCCTGGGGGCCACTGGATGGACACAAAGGTCTCAGCCCCTTCCCTTCACTCTGGCACCGAACAACCCACACAGCACAGAAAGGAGGACCCAGGACAGTTAGTGAGAGTCAAAGCATAGCTTGTTTAATTTTTATACATTTTTTTCTTCCTTCTTTTGTCTTTTTTTTTTTTGCTTTTTATTGAATCTTTTATGGAACCCCCCTTGTTTCATTTTTTTTCTTTTTTTTTTTTTTGCATAGGGAAACAAACAAACAAAATAGTAACAGCCAGAGTCACTTTCTGTAAATGGTACTTAGGTAGGCGCGTCTGCAAAAACCGAAATGACTGCGTAATATACAAGGTTATGACCAGAGTATGCTGTGAGGGGGGGCAGGCGGGCGAGCCGGGCAAGGGAGGAGTCCGGCTGGTCTGCCAGGCGTCCCCCCAGTCCCCGTCCCGGAGGGGAAGGGGGCGGCGGGCAGCAGACCCAGCCTGGACCTTCTCCTGACCTGGGTCACGAGCATGGGGTGTGTGTGCATGGGGTGTGTGTGTGTGTGTGTGTGAGAGAGAGAGAGAGAGAGAGATCCGGTGTGTGGCAAGCAGGAAGCGAGAGACAGAGTAAACTATCCTGGTAATATCAGTAAAATACAAAATGGGGGGGGGAACCTCAAAAAATATCTTGGAGGGAAAAGAATGAAAACGAAGAGGAACACCACCAAAAAGTTTTTCAAAGAGCGAAAGGAAGGAAGGAAGGAAAGAAAAGGAAAAAGAAAGGAAACTCAGTCAGGTGGGTCTCTGTCCTTCCTCCCTGCGCTATGCGCTCTGTCCCTCAGACTCTCTTGTCTTCCCCCATGTGGGGTCCTGGGGGTGGGAGGGCAGGAAGCTGGGGGCAAAGGCCAGGACCCCCGAATTTGAAGGGACTTTGGTTTTGGAGGCCTGGCTGGGACCCAAGATGGGAGGATGGGGTGTTGATGCATTTGGGGAGTAGATTTTGGGGGTTCCCACGGGAGGGGGCTGGGACAGCTCCTGTCCCCTTCCCAGGGGTCCCCTTCTAGCCAGGAGGTGTGAGTGGAGGGCTGTGGGGAGGGCAGTAGCTTGGGGGTGCGTGACTTCCTTCCTGTCCGGCCCTGACTCCTGTTGGATCCCACCTCCTCTTTCCTGAGGCCTGGGGGGGGGCCCTGGGGAACAGGGGAGGAGAACCCCAAAGCCACACCAGCAGACGTGTGAGGCACTGCTTGGGAAAGTCTTGTTTTGGTATCGCTGGCAACAAGTCCCACTGGTACGGCTTGGGGTCTGACTCCCTGCCCCGCCTGGGGGGTGGGGGTGGGGGCCAGCGCGGGGACGGGCGGACGGGGGAGGCCGGGTCAGTCCAGAGGTGGGACACTCTCACGTGTCCAGAGGGGCAGGAACGGGGGAAGACGGGGGCATGCGGAGGAAGCTGGATGTGAGGATGCGTCTGCGGGGCCTCTCTACCAACACCCTCCGCGAAGAAGAGTAGAAACCGGGGTCTCAGGGAATCCAGGTCAAAACAAAAAGTAGCCACTGTATAACCTGTATCACGAGGAAAAACTCCAAAATTATATATATTTATACATATATGTGTGTGTGTGTGTAGTACAGCCTACACCGGGGGTCAAAGTACCGTGGGAGAAGCCAGAGTGGGGACAGGGTCCTCGGGCCGCAGCGCGCACAGGGCGGGAGCTGCTCCCAGCCCAGGCTCCCGCCTACCCGGCTGCCGGCCCTGCGGACAGACAGAGGGTTCCAGAGCAGAGACGGGGACGTGTGGGGCTGAGGCTGGAATTGTCTGCTGCTTGGGGGGGGTGCAGACACCCCCCGTCTCCTTCGGGGTTCCTCTTGGGTCTGATTGTCTAGCTCAGGGCGGGGGGCGGGGGTCTGGGTTCAGAACTCGGCAGGAGCCTGGGTGGCGGACCCAGGCCTGGGCGCCCCCTGACCCCTTCTCCTCAGACAGGGCCGGGTCTCCCGGCCCCTCCGCACCTCATTTTCCACCCTGGTCAGGATCCCATGCTCTCGTCCCAGAGAGGCGTG